CTGTTCTCCAATAATCTTCACTGTACCTTGTCAGGTGTTGATTTTTTGCAACACAAAAACCACTTTGTATTCAGTGGAATAAAATTTGACTTAGGGAAGAATGCAAACTTTAACACGAGGGAACTTGAGATTTACCTCAAGGTTTTATAATATTTAACCATATCCTGCAGGGTTGAATTTGAAGTTGCATGACATATTCCTAGGGGATTTTCAAGATTTTCCGTGTTCAAAATTCTTTAAAAATTCATAACTTCATTTACTGGACGTTTACACCCACACTAATGACTGTCTGGTGGCTACTCTAATCTGACAGACAACATCTATTGACGCCCGAGTATTTCAGCCTGGCCTGCCAGCTTGTAAAGAGAGCCCAGATTGTGTGTTGTTATGTAATTTTCTTTTGTTCCTAAAACTGGCCCAGTACACTGCTTATGTCTTTTCAAATGCGGACAAGATTAATGTGCAGCGATATTGTATCACTCATCCCTGGAGGGCCTTTGTCCCCGGTCTAATCCGCTCATGCTGAATGCCACAAACAGTGGTATAATCATTCAAAACAATGACGGATTTCCTCCGCTATTGACAACTGAAAAAAATTATGGCAATTCTCAGCAGCCCAGGCTTTTGTACCGAGTACGGTCTATTATTACAAGGCCAAGCTCCTTTGTCCGAGTTTGGTCACCCCAGCTTTGCGTATAAGGCCAACGTCTCCGGTTCCGGGCACCCCGGCATGAAATGGTTCATAGAATTTTGATATACCTCAAGGTACCACCTCAAGGGACCCCTGAATTTTGCATTGTTCTGTTAACAAACGGCAATCAGAAACATAGTGACAGAAAATGAATGCTGATTTCTGGGAACATGTCCAAGAGCATCTTTAGTTTTTATATTGTATTACTTCCTTTAATGTTGTCATTTGTTTTTATTTATATAAATACATATGTGCATATATACATATAGGCATTACAGTATAAAATTAAACAAAACGGTTTACATCCTTGAATGCTTCTGAGAAAATCAGTGGTGCACATGGTGACTGTTTGGTTATAAATTATTCTTTTGAAAATTTGGTTCTTTTATGACCCCAAACACATGTAATAAGAAACCTGGAAGTCTGTCTGAGACGTAGACATTTTACACAGTGTATCTCTCTTCTTTGGCAATTTTGTGACCATAATCCAATTTGGGAATATGGGGCTCAAGTTCAACTCCACAAAAGAGGTCTCTATCTGTACATAGTTGTCTTGACAACAGTTTAAGAAATACTTTGTTGTAGCACGTGCCTCTTGTTTGATGGCAGGCAGTCGGAAAAATATCTGACAAAGGCAAAGGTTTTAGACCAGTTTAGTCTGTATGTAATTTGTACATTAAGCCCAACGCATGCACATGGAAATTTTAATGGTTGCTTTGCATGCCTTGGTTACGGAATATCTCGTCTTATGTGTTGTTATGGCAATATTATTCAGTAGAATCAGGTTGTCATGAAGAGCTAAAAATCTGTATCTTCTGTGTCTCATTCTAGGAATGTTTCGTTTGGTTACTTATGCAGTATTTCAATGCTGGGCCTTGTGTTTAAAGATTTTGTTATGAAAGCTCCTAAATAGAAACCTGTTGTTTTAAAAACTGCGGTCTAGATAGGATTTTCACAAGGACAAATGTATAACAAAGGAGGTATAGTGCTTGACATGTTTATCAAGTGAAAGCAGTTTGCATTGTAAACCACTGTGGGTTGGTCTGTTAGTGCAGCTGGGTCTAAAAGTTATGGCTTTGGCTTGGAACAACACATAAGCCTATGGCAGCCAGTAGCTCAGTACTGAAGCCATGAGACATAGCCACATCTGCTAGTTAACTTGGATGTGGCTTCAGTCTTCCTCAAGTTCCTCCTTTCACTTTCATGTTTAATTCAACATAGGATAGGTTACGCCTTTCAAGAACTTGACAAAGTGATTTCTTGTTTGACCATCTACTTTGTGTCTTTTATCCCCATCATGTGATGAATTTGTCAAGTTAAAAACAGATGGAAATATGAACAGAACCCATCTCTACTGTTTGAAAAATGTAGTTATTTTAATTAATAACTGAAGACTGTTTAAACCAAACTTCTTCACAATTAATCCAAAAACTACTGCACTGAGGATTGTTTAAACCAAACTTTAATTTTCCCAAGATATTAAATTTTTGATGACTGTGGCAGAATTTTGCATTCGATTATCTAAAAACTCCTTTGATTCAAATTTTTATTTGACTGGAAAGTCTGTGTTAGCACGACTTTTTCTTAAAAAGTCATTCATTAGATACTTTTTTATACCAGAGGGGAAACAATTTCACCAAACAATATCAAAACAGTTCATGAAGTGCTTGGAAATCCTGACAGGCATCTACATGTATGTAGTTATTTGGCAACTATATTTAGAGATTAAAAAACTCCTGGGTATCACTTTCTAAGATAACTCTGGAGAAGACGAGCAAAGTTATTGCCTCTATGAATTCCTTCCAGACCAACAAATGAAACACGAGACACCGTCTGAGATGAAATCACCTGAGAATGCAGCTTTGCACCGTGATTCAGGGATGGAGAATACATAGTCATGTCTGCATCTATTTAGTAGTCTTGATTCCAGGCCTCAGATTGTTTAGTCTCCACTTCAAAACCTTTGTAAAGGCATTTGCTCAACATTAAATTAATTCCAAACTTGACTCTCTAAAGGTAAAGTAGGACTTATTCAGGCTAAACATTCCTGCCAGTTACTAAGGCAAGTGAATCTGTGGCATATAAAATTGTGCCCAGAATGAAGGTTGATACACAATACCATAAATCAAGACTTCAGCCTTGCATACCAACACAAGGCCCTTGGACAAAAAACAATCTCATCACAGCTCTTTTTCCATTTTTTTCAGAGGAAATATTCTGACCAGTATTTAACCCTACAAAAAGCCTGTCTGAAGAGATCCCCCAAAATGTCCAGAGTACATTGACAGTTACAGTGGACATTTTTAAAAACACAGCCACGTTCTCTCCATTTCTTTTTGAGAGAAAAAGCTGCATTTTTTCAGGTCACTATTGTATGCCATTGCTAATTTAGGTCTCTTTTTCTCCATCTCCTGATGTCATCAAGTTAAATTCATGAAAAATAAATAGCTACTAATGACTTGTCACACTATCCTGTCCATGAATAATTCATACATCCTCTGGCAATGTGCCAAAAAATTCTAGGAAATCATGGGGTGCTAAGAGCAAGCTAACGCATCCATGTCAGAGAGATGAGATACATACCAAGCTGAGACCCCTTCTTCTGTGGGTGTTGGTCGCTGTTATACAATGTTTGCATAATATTTTTTTAGTGTTTGCCTGTAGGAATCACGTATTACTTTATACTTTGATGTCAACATTGTTTTTCACACTCTGAAAGCTAATCATGGTGTACATTAATTATTCCACAAGTCAGTCTAAGTTCCACCTCTGTATGTAATAAATTTACACTGCCTGAAAAATACACTCCAAGTGTTTGTCTTGCCTGGCGTTTTTGTTTTCATAAAATGCAACAAAGCTAACAGGACTTCTGAAGGGTGACACGTTATAGTTTACAGTGACACAGAATCCAATTAAACATCAAGGAATATATATGTTATTTGATGATGTTGTGAAACTTGACACGACAAGTCTCAACCAAATAATCTTAGCATACAAAAATCCCACAATATACATGATACAGACCAGGCAATGGACCAATATTTTGAAACGTTTTAAGAATTTATTGTAAGGTTGATGACGCTGGTTCATTTGCAAGTGCTGCATAAATATATCACATCCTGGAAAAGTTGGCTAGGAGAACATCACTGATAAACAAAATAAAAAAAAAAACAATACCAAAGGCAACACTTGTCCACTGTCAAAAGCCTAAAACATGATCTCTCTGTTCCTTAATTTCGCTAGAAGTAATTTCCATTATGACACGGCTGAAAATGTTTAAAATATGGAGCACGCTTCTCAACTCTGTTTACAATTTGGAGATAAAACAATGATTGCTCCATATTCTATAAGAAAGCATTTCACAACTCAATTTGATCACAAAGAAGAGGAAAAGGAGGTTCTTTGAAGTTGGCAAGTTGGCCCTGGTATTAAGGAACTAGAAATGGTGAACTGGCCATCCTTGTTGAGTAGCTTGAATCCAGCCCACCTGATACTTGAGTGGCTTGAGTCCAGCTCACCTGATATTCAATTGAGTGGCTTGAGTCTGGCCCACCTGATACTTGAGTGGCTCGAGTCCAGCTCACCTGATATTCAATTGAGTGGCTTGAGTCCAGCTCACCTGATATTCAATTGAGTGGCTCGAGTCCAGCTCACCTGATATTCAATTGAGTGGCTTGAGTCCAGCCCACCTGATACTTGAGTGGCTCGAGTCTGGTCCACCAAGTGGTTTGGGTTTGATGTGGCCGTGTCCAGAAGTAAACCTGTCTCTGGATGGGAATATGGCACTCTATCCGGTTCGTGAGCGTGATGTCACTTTAGTTTGAACCACGCCCACTACACATGGAGCTACATGAATCCATAGAACCAAAAGTTAACGTGCCTGCAATCAGTCATCTAAGTGTATGACGAAATCACTTACGAACCAGACAGAAGTGGTTCATCGTGATCATCGTGATCACTCACGGTGATCACGATGAAACTTTTGGTCAATATGCACATGTGCACAGTGCTTAACTTGAGAGACTAGCAGCTTTCATTCAATTGTGATGGCTTGAGGTAAACTGAATCATGCACTAGTCTTTTCTCAAGCAGTATGTGGGCCTCACACAGGCATCAATTTGATGATCACAGCGATCAAACTTGATGAAAGGCTACTTCCATACAGTCTTGAGTTCTTCCCAGCCACAACGCTAATTTCTAGACACAACCTTGACTAAAAAAGAGAAATTCTTCTTTCATACCCAAGGATTTCCCCTCACTACAAAAATCATTTCTTCCTAGACAGAATACTGACTGCAGCAAAGACAGATTACTTTCAAGTCATATTAGTGTTTATTTTCAGTGTTCAGCTTCCTCAAGAGTAACAGAGCAAAATCTTTGAAATGTCGCCAAAACCTTTCTTGCCATAGGCTCTTAACACAACCAACACTTCCACCTCAAAAGGGTTACCTCCCTGATTTACTTGAAAACAATACCTCTCCATAGTTTTTATCTGCTACTGTGAGACTCATTGTCAACATAAAGCACTAAATATCAAATAAATTATATTATCCTCAATATTATCACCAATAGGCAAGCATACTATACATAGGCAACAGAAATCACAAATAATCGAAGGAAAATTGCTTATTTTAAATGGTAACTCTAGGTAAATAAACTTCTAAAACACAAAACATATATTGGAATATTATTTATTCTTCAGTGTTAAATACTACTGCCCTCTAGCAAGGCAATAGAGCTACATATATTAATCTAGATAGGGAAACATTCACAGACTTTGTATATTGTCTTTCACTGTATGCAATATCTGGATGATTATATTTCTGCTACTAGTTAATGTGATATGGAGTTTTGTTTTCATTCAGGGTTAAACTATTTTGTGTTAAGTACTTTCCAAAGCTTCTCTTTATTTAAAATGAAATGCTAAATCTACTTGACACCTTGCATCCTGCCACCATGACGATATTTTATTGTCGAAATCTGCCACCTTGAGTAATTGCTCTGTTCAGGGAATGACTTCATGAGGGTTTCATAAAACAACAGGAAATGTCACTTTAAGTCTGAGTTTTAAGCTAATGTTGGCAGAGAACCAGTCACAGGCAGAACACACTACATGGTATTTGGACTTGTAACTTCTGTCTGCTAAGCAAATATTTCTGTGCTATGCAACTCTATACACTGGCTTATCGTTATCAAAAGATGATAAGCCAGTGTTGTCAAGACATGGTATAAAATCACTGCCAACAGTCCAACATATTATGCCATTTTCAAGAGTTTGGGGATTTATCAACCTGCACATTTCTGGAATAGGTACAAAATACAACAGAAAACCAATATTTCCCCAAAGGACATATGGCAATCTCAAGAAGTTTCCTTAATCAGGCATGCAACTTGGGCTTGGACAAGTAACAAGGAAATTCCAATCTTTACAAGACTTAGTACAGGGTTTTTCAATTTTCATTGGCACGAGTGTGAAGTGAAAAACAAGGAAAGCAGCTGACCTGAGGAAAAGTGGCATGCCTGCTTAATGGCTGTCATAAGGGCTTTCTCCATTTAAGACAATCACCATGCATCATTTGGAGGAAATGGAAGCATTGGCTTTCTGATGTGAATACTACACTGTTCTCACAAAAGTACAGATCTGGAAATCCCCCAAAAGTAAAACCAAAACTCTCTACTTAACAAACCTAACTATTAAAGATTGTACAATGACTGCAACAAATGTCGCGGATTAACTTCTTTGATGAGCATAAGAAGTTAATGTATAAACTCATCACAAAACAAGTATGAACGTTCAACATGTATAACGAAGGGGCACATCTCTCCTTTTGGACAAAAATGTTCTGCTTTTTAAACTTTTTCAAATCATAATTAGACAATGTCAATGTTTGTTTGTTCTTGGCCTAGTGCCAACAGTTACCCTCTACAAAAGAATTGTGTAACCTGCAAAATTTCTGGCAAGTGAACTGAGCCTGCCCTTGAGTAACAGTTAACTTGCTTCAATGTATATCAGTCTGTGTTCTATGGTACATGTTGGACTATCCATACCGTTATAATAAAGATACACATGTACCTATATTGATGATGTCATTGGTATGCATAGTGCAAGTCATGTGACTACCAGCGTACATGTACATACACGTATTGCACTTCTGAATGAGCCCCGAACTAGTGCCAATACAAAGACGATTATTCACTTGAATAAAAAGCAGAGGCATAACTAGGGGGGGGGGCACTTGCCCCCAGTTCCCCCAGGGTGCAACCCCCCCCCTTTGAAATTTGTGAATAATCTCCTTTGAGTTTCTTTCGCTATGCAGCTGCTGCTTTATTTTCTTGTGGTGACTCCTTTGCCCCCACCCCCAACACCCCAACATACACTGTCCCTTGAAGACGTGCAGAATGAACACAAAATGGGCTGTTGTCTCTGTCCATTTTAGAAGATTCATTCACATTTTGTAGAAGGGATGGAAAGGGGTGTGAAAGGGAGGTGTGGCAGACAGAAGTGGTATTGGTGGGAGGGACAGAAAACAGGTGGTTTTGGTTTGAAGGCAAGAAAATCAATGGTAACATTGTTACAAGAATATATTTGATTGAAATTTAACGACTCTTTGGAATTACCAAGCACCAAGACATGTTATTTGCAGGAAGGAATGTAGTTAAATACATACATGTATAAAGGTCACGACCTTCACATTGATAAGGCAATCAACAATGCTAAGTATTTACACAAATTAATCTCCATAGGAATTCATCCTGTATGCTTGCCAATAGCAGCCAGTTACAGCAGGGACAAATTAATATCCATATCTGTTCTGTAAGTTACATTTACATTTCCATCATGCCAGAATATCTGCACACTGCATATCAAACTATCACAGTTTTATCTATGGAAAAAAGGTCTCCTAGGAAATGTAATACATGTACATACCCCATACAAATGGTGAATACTTCAAGATGCTTGAGAACTATGAGGTCTACAATCTGTCTCACAAATGACATGGAAAAAACCTGAAAACGACATTAACGGCCATTTAAGAAAAATATATAACAGTCTACACAAAACAGAGTTTGCTCGAAAGTTTAAGCAACTTTTGAACAAGTAGTAAACTTAAAAGCATGTATGATGGTTCCAAACTGGAAGCAGCATTTATACCCTCCAGTGCCGAGATGTTTTAGTAATTATCTAACCAGTGTGTTTGCATACACATCACAATGCTACATATAGGTCAAACTTTCAATAACTATCTTCCATGCCGGCACCAAAATACCAAAATACCAAAATACAAAATAAAAAGAGTTTTGAAAATTCTACCTTTGAGCAGCACTTGCAAATGTTCAAGCACTGAGCAACCCACAGCATGTTTGGCATCTTGTTTTTTTTTTTTTGAAGATGGATCTTTTATTTAAACCAAGACTACCCGTTTTTTTCCCCAAGAAGGTAGCTAGTTCTGTATTAATCAGAGTATGGCTTCCAACTTTCAGGGGACATCCTTGAATTCCTTCACATTTTTCCCTTTGCTTTGGATTCTGTTTTCCTTCAGGAGCAAAAAAGATGGCAACCGACAAAATAAAGGGGCTGGAATGACAAACATGTTCATTTTTCAACTTGGCCATGGCAGCTTGGAAATGGTAAATAATTCGACAAGGCCTATTAAGTACAGTTCCTTCTTCTTCCGTTAGCCATTCACTCTACCCTGCATGAACAAACATACATTGTTAGTTTATGTATGTCTGGCAACTCCCACCAGGAACTTGTTAGGAAGGGTGTAACTGAGCCCTTGCTGTGAATCATACTGACGTCGTTTTGGAATGCGGGGCTTTTCTGGATTAAAGTTCTCTTCCCAAACCCACGACTGTTTTGTGTCTGGTTGATTTGACAGAAAAGAAACAACCCTTTCAGGAAATGGCTAGATCTCCCTTATGCCAGGTGTGCAATAAACACGAGGGTGGATGTTGGTTCCCACTTTCAAATATTTCCTGATTCTATGTGATGCAGACCAAAAATAAACCTGCAAATAACCACAATTTTGACGGTGGCAAAATTTACTTTGCATTCCCATTTCGGTAAAGTATAAAACAGTCTTAAAATTTATCTTGTTTAACCTTTGAAGAGTAAATATAAACTTACTGCTTTCAAGCCACACTACAAGACCACTGCTCATGGCTGCTGACTGCAGAAAGTGTTGCCAATTAGAAAAACTCAACTTCGATGCAAAAGCTGGTTACCTGCTCCAATATCGCGCAACTAGTTTTCAGCCAAATTTATACCCAGTAAGCACTTTTGCTAAGTAAAGTTTTCCCCTTAAGCAGCTCTACATGCCCAAAAGAATTAGATTATTATTATCAGGCACTGCTTATAAAACAATCTTATATTTTAACACAATTTCCTTATTTTTCCAAGATATTTAGAGACAAAGATCATAGAGTTTGTTTATTTATTTGACCATTTACCTCGTTACAGGAAAAGCTTCTATTTACAAATCAGCCATTACAAAATAAAAAAAACATTGCACAGTATTTCTTTTTTTTTTCTTTTTTTTTTCACAGATCATGCAACATGCGAAAAGGACTTATCCTGTATAAAAGTAATCTCTTCCATCCTGATGATGTATGAGTTTGAAATGCTGACGCATCTACATGAATATGGCGACCACGACAACAAAATGCTACATCCTAAAACCTACTTCTCCGAGAAATACTTAGAAATCTGTTTGAATCTTTCAGAATCTGTCACTGTGCAGAAACGACACAGCACATTCTTTGTACTTGAAACTCTCCAGAGGCATCAAGCCCCATGTGAAGTGATGAATGATTCTTAATCCCTTAAATATTCCCAGTTCTCACAGGATAGCGTGCGCAAAGCTGTGTAGACAAAACGCCATTGTAATCATGCCGAGGTGACAGAAAGGGCTCGAGTCTGAGAGGTATGCCATCAATGTCCAATGCTGTCTACTCTTAAGACTTTAACCAAGTGATCATACAGGCGTTTCCAAGCCGATGGAAGGTTGAGGACTTTGGTCGTCATGGTGATCGTGATGCTGAGATGTTTGTCTGGATGATATTAAATGTGTCTCTTGTTCTTCGGCCGGTGAATGCATCGGACTACCAGGTAATGAGTCGTTCACTGGTAAGTCAATTGGGGTCGACACTGTCTCTGGATGAGAAACATTAGCATAGGGCGACATCCGGTACTCTGTTTGTCCAATCCAGACTTCTGTCGCATGATCTACCTTATTGGTTTTCCGTCCTGCATCGTTGCTCCCGTTCGACAATCTCCTAGTCTCCTCAGTGACATCTCCATGATGATGCCCCTGATCTTCCACTAGAGACAACGGCTGACTACTGGAATGCCCAGCTTTCTCTTTCTGCTTCTTGTCTGCTTTCTCAGCCTTCTTGGCCTTCTTTTCTTCTTTCTTCTCCTTGCTTTTGGATTTCTTGTCCTTTTTCTCTACAGATATCTTTCCTTTCTCCTTGTCTCCTGAGACTGACTCCAGGGCGGCCGCATCTGTCACCTCAGCCTTTGTTTGCTCTTTCCCTTTTTTCTTATCACTTTTTTCCTTCTTCCTCTCATCTTTCTTAGAGTCTTTGCTCTTGGATAATTTTTCAGCACCTGGACTCACTGGAGTGTTCACAGGGTTCCTGTTCCAGTCTCGCGGGGGATTGTCGACATGTATCTCCCGCACCATCTCAAATCGTTCACTGCTGAGATCGCTCATGGGTGACCGAGGATGAACATGAGGAGTTTGTTCTGTCTCCTCCTCGGGTGGCACCTCAACCCAAGCATCCTTGTGCTCAGCATGTGCCTTGTGCTTCAGCTCAGCATGCCTGTCCATTGCCAGCAAGTCCTGACTTCCAAAGCCCTCCGTCCGTTCTCTGTTGGGTGGCGGTTTCACCTTGCCTCGTTTCTTCTTTCTCAGATTGTCAATATCCCGCTGCATGGCAGCAGCTTTCTCGGGTGCCAACTGCCGTTCCTTGATGACCTTCCGTCTTGCCAACGAGAGTGAGTGTTCAGCTTCCATGTCCCTCTCAAAAACTCGAAGCTTCAACATCTGCAAAAACAAACCGTTGAAAATTACCTGTTGAGCAATCACTCAGAATGATGCATTCACTGACTCAGCACCCAATCATGTTTTTGTCTTCTGTTTCTGACACAACTGTCAATGTCAAGAAAATCACCCACATACTGTAGAAAAACAATTCAAACCTGGAAATAAATTTCCCTTTCAAATCCTAGGAAGGTGTAAGAGTAAGACCACAATGTCTCCAAGACAGAGTAAGAAATTCACCCCTCTCCCTGCCGGAATTTCAGTAGTCCCTATTTGAACCCCTTTCTAATGCTCCAAATCTTCTTTAAAAAGTCTTCCCCCTTCTCTCTCGATGGATCCGTCCCTTTCAGTATTGACACCTTCTCATTTCCCTACTTTTCCAAACTCCTGGTCGTACTTTGTCCACACTGGATCAACCACTGATTAAACACTATCTGCCCCCATTTCTTCTTCCACGGTGACTTTTCACCCAGATTCAATCATTATTCTTGGCCACACCTTCAACAATCTAGGCAACTGCCCCACCCACTTTCCAACTACCCAAATCCTTTTCTTACTGGTAGGAAATTGCTACACCTGTTTCTCAACCACCAGCAATTCCCAAGAGTCTAAGAACGGAGTGGTGAAAATCACCTCTGCACTCAAGAAGTCCTCTTGTGTGACGGATGCTGGGATGTTCCTCAGAACCTCCATGGTCTCATACAATCCCTGGCAATCTTTTAATTGCTCTGAGCGTCCCAGTGTAAACTTGAGTAAGACCAGGGCAACGCGGAACAAAACCTTCACACCTGACCAACAAAATGAGAATTATAATTACTCTGGGAAAATCAGCTGCTCCATTTCATGATGCAAAAATTTAAAAACTGTGAATAAAGAAAGAGAAAAGGAAACCTTTCTCAAAATACAATCAAAAGTAATAACAAATTATAAGAAAATCAATTTTCTTTTAGTAACGTGAACTGAGCGTGTAAGTTTCTCTACATTTGATGCACATATCAATTTTTACCACGCAGCACTGTTCCATGTGCAAGACAACAAGCAGTACTCCAAACACACCTTTGTTCATTTCCTTGTTGGTCAAGTAAGTCAACCCAGCAGCTTTACCTGTAAAATATCTCTAAGTGACACAACTTCAAGCTTGGCCTAAGTGTTTGTTGTATTTAAAACTTTCTAAGTTTAACGACTTAAAAGGCATAAAATGCAATTTGCCAAACCATTACCACCTGTAAATCTAAATATAGTACTAGCACTTTTGAAAAGACCCAACAAACGTCACTTCCTGACGGCAACAGAATCTGCTCAAGTCTGCTACCCTGCTTGCATCATTGTCACAATGTCTTGAGTCATGCTACTATTTCTGCCTACCTGATTCTACAAACCTAGCCTGGTTGCAACCCTCTAGGCTGGCCCTAGACCTAGCTTGGTCATTTCCTTTACCTTCACAGAAGAACATGTCCCAGACACGCAGGACGGATGGCCAGGGTAGCGTGCGGGAGAACATACACATAAACCACTCAGTCATGTATAGAATTGGGTCAATCTTGTGCTTTTTCTGTATGAAATAGAGAACGGAAAAACAAAGCCAGGCACAATGTTAGGTGTAGATGTATTCCAATTTGAACCATCCCAGATTCCCACAAATCTACGCCTACATGTGGCAGAAATCTACCTGATTCAAGGTCACAGTGCGTTTTGCTTACGGAGACAACAGAAATGTTGCCAATGTTCACAAGCACTGTTCAATTTAGATATGCACATAAATGATTGTGAACTCTGGCAGCATTTCTGGTCTGCACTCCGTGACAGTAATGCAGCCCAATCTCTGTAACATAACAGAGAGTTTGTTGGTCATTACACACTGGTTGACCAGTTTAGAATGGTGTCAGTAATCTCACTAAGACATTGTGGCGTGAACAATTTCACAAAATGATTGCGACTGTCTCTGAGCTAACACGGCTGCAGTGGAAAACCTGACTGGGGTTGCTGCAAAAAAAATACGATGTGACAACTTTCATGCAAAAACTTGATTTTTCTGTTTTTAATAATTGTTGTTGCCATGGTTGTTTTTTCTCCCATCTAAATGACCGAGGACTCAGACTTGGAGTCTTTGAGGACATAAATTGACAACAAGCCTTTCAACAAGTGTCTATTATTCTTTTCCTCACCAGGTGTTTGTAAGCTGTTGGTGATTCTTTCTTCGTCAGTCCAGCCAGTACCATGCCATCTATCTGCACAGCCTCCAGGCCAACACTGTAATACCCCGTCAGGTATTTCTCACAGATCTGGACTAAGGCCCAAAATGCATCCTAGAGGACAAAAAATGAAAGCAGACAAACAAAAACTGTGAGAAGACAATCAAATTTCCAGCAACATAACGATGGTCCCTGAAACCAAGCTGTAACAAAGCATAGGATCAATGTTCACTCATGGCATACATTAATGATGGGGGATGGACAGTGCCAAGTTATAGTACAATGGAACTGAGGAATGACAAAAAATGTCTGGAAGTTATGACTGCGGTTGAAACAACACTTGCGCTCATGGTAGCCAGTGGATTGTGGCTACAGCTTCTTCCCATTGACATGTGTGTAATTCCTAGCGACAGCTAATTGATTTGGCCATGGCTTCATATTCATTATGGGATATGTTCGCAAGTGAACAGTCAGCTCATACTTCAATCAACCTGCACTCCTGCAGTAATGACAACAGGTGTAAAATTTCATTTCTTTTTTTAAATATTGTTGATCACAAACCATGACCAAGTGCCAGTTGCATATCTAGATATGTTTCTGGAAAGGTAAAGTTATTAAATAAGCAACAGAATACACAGACAATGAAGTAAATGTACATTAACTCTGTCAAGCTCCATCCAAGCAATCACACACACAAAAAACACAACTGACAACTAAACTCAAAACTACGACAGGGAACCTTCCGTTCAAATCCCGGGCCTGTCCTACCAATTTATGCCTTTTCCTTCCATTGTCGTTACTGCAGCTGTTCCAGTTTGGCTTTTACACTCATATTGATGATGTTTGTGTACATGGGCAAGGCTTTTAACTGTGCATGTACACACAGAATGCCTTGTGCATACTGGAACAAGGGCATTACAGATCACAATGTACAATGTTAAAGAGACATGTTTATTGAACAGGCACATTTCCACAGGGAGATAAACATTGAACTGCATTTGTGAGTTTGGGCGATAAACGCCTCTCCTATAATCACCCTAATGGATCCAGGGGTGCCAATTATCCCTGCACTGCACCTGTTCTTTGTAGCTTGCCACGTCATGTACATGTATGTACCACTCCATTATGAATCACAAAGACCAGATCCTACATTTGAACAAGTGAACAATGTTACTGAAAATTATGCTACAGCGACCCCCCCAAAAGAATCCTTACTCTTCCATTCAACAACCAGATGTCCAACAAATCCAAGGTCTTTCCATGACATTTGAATAAAACTTCACAATAAATCAGTCTATGCACAGTGTATATTCGGTTGGTATTTCCTCCATTTTTCCATACCTTACGTGTGCAGTACAATGCTGCAATGCCTAAATTGCTATGTCCACACATGAGACATCAACATTTATGCCGACAATTGGCCTATCCCCCCCCCACTACAGTCATCTGGTCTGTTCTGAATACATTTTTTTAACATCTCAACTTACAAATCAAGAGACTTATAACCACTGTAATTGCAAACTGGAAGCAAAAGTTAAGATAACAAGTGTATAGACTTCCCGAGGGAAAATTCGGGGCTCTTCCTTGATCACACATGTAAGGGAAATCCTAAATGGTTTCCATGGTAGGATTTTCCCTTGCTTTTCTATCATGCCCATGACTATGATACTATAATAAGGAAACACTCCTCAGCACAGGTGGCTCTTAATGAGCTGTAAGCTCCATCGATTATAGATGATTGCCGATATTGATATATCGGCGGCCCGATATCGATAATACGGACATATCAAATTTGTTTGAAGAATTTATGTTTCCAAGCTCAAAACCAATGGCATAACGCATGCTTAATGCCGAACACCTTTTGCAGTTAGGTGGCTTAGGCCCCTAACCATGCAGCATGCGATAAGTCTGCTGGAATTGGAGAGCTTTTTTAATCTTCCCCAAACAAAAGAGCCTCTGACGACACCAACAACCTGCAGTCAGAACTTTATATTCAAATGTGAAGGCAGGCATACTACGGCCAGTCCAAGATCTGAGAGCCCGGCTTCATTGCTTCCTGGGACAGTAAGTTCCTCCTTCAACCAATCACCACTGATGATATTGCTACGCCACAATACGACATGAATATACATCACTCAAACTATTACGTGTATGCAGAGAGGGCACAGGAATCTCATGCATCTGTTACAGATGGGACATTTCTTCCTTTAGAATTTGCCTGCTGTTTTTGATTTAATTCTTTCTTTAGACATTTGTGGTATTTTAAGTCTAACCTGTTCTGTAGCAGACCCCATGTATTGTGCTTTGTACCCAGTATTCTTTTGTTAAGATGTTGCCCAGTGGGCTGACCGGTTATGTAATGGCCCTTTTATTATCTGCTGGGTGCACATGTATTTAAGAAGTGGGTTGTGTGGGCGTCACACCACAGCCACCCGTTCAGCCAGGGGCTCTGTTCTTTTTTTCATTTGATGGGTGTCGCCAACCTTCATCACTCCAGCCAATGTCCAATTGGCCCTCCAGCTATACACTGCCAGCAGATACAGCGAGTCACCGCATGGCCTGGGACCAGACCGGTTCTGAGGCACAACCCCAGATGACCTGAATCAGGCCAACCGGGTGCACCAGGCCAGTGCTTCAGCCAGCTGTGCCTGAGTTGTCCCTCCGCAACAGAACACCAATAGTCAACTTGACAGCGCGGACCCAATCAAGTCCTCAACAACAACCTATAAGTAATTATGTAATTTTATAAACAAATAGAAACCTAGATTTAAATTGCTTTATTATTTTTGGTATGTAAACTGAATAAATTTCTGTAAATATAGTTGCTGGTTTCCTTTTCTCTGCTGTCATGTTCGTCTCTGTCGTGCCCTACTTCATTTTGGTTCTTTTAATTAGTTGCACGTAACACGTCATTCATACAAGTTCAGGCAAAGGCTACTTCTTATCCACTTGACGTTTTTACCAAGTGCCATATATGAAAAAAATACACACACAAGTACCAGGCAAAATTCACTGATGTTGAAGTCACAGCCACAAGTAAAACAGTCTTTAAGCTTCATGGTTTCCGGCCATCAAAGCTCTGCTGCGCCACGCATGCAATAACCAATGAGGTTTGGTACCCGGACACAAGGGTACTTTACAGTTTATTTGTGTACGCATTTTCCTTTGCGTGGAAAGGTGCCCTGCTCAAATTTTTTTAACCACTTTTTTATATACCCAGCAAGAAATGAGACCGAGGGGTACCCCCCAACATGTCCAATTCCTATACACATTCCAGACTATTGTTACTTAACAAATCCCCCCAAGATGTCTGAAAGGAATTCCCCAGATTCTTGCAAGACAATGACCCACACAAATCAGGGGGGGGTTCTCTCCGTCTCATACCTTGCTGCATGTGACTTTTTATAAGCTTTTGTGAACAGGAAAACAACAAATCATGGGTAAAAAATTTGCTGACTGCTATTCTTAACTATGAAAAACAGACACTTTTATTCCAAGACAAAATACTAGCAATAACAACAACTACTGTAACTTCATTTTTTTATTATATCAGTGCTTTTGATTTATCAGTTTCAATGTTAAAGTGATATCATTGATATCGATATCAAAGCAAAATAGATATATTGGATATTATCTATATATTGATGAACCTTAATGAGCTATTACACTGTTCAGGTCTCTCCTGCTTGAAAATGGAAGAATTGGTCTAACAAATACAACATATGACATTTTTGGAAGTAATTTTTGTTTCCATAGATCTGCACACATGTGCAAGGTGCTTGATATAAGCTGCTTAATGGTGGATACAAACTTTGACTTCAATCGTGAGCAACAGGAAAGGAAAAACTAGCTTTACCACTGCATAAAAAAATAAGTGGAACCAAAACTATGCATTCAGCTGAAAAACTTGGCAACTTTTTTTTCAAAATTTGCCAACCGGGACCTGCTTATGGAAAACCCAGCTATGACGGAAACACTTAACCAGCTACCATCTAAAGCAAGCGTCACCGTATGACCTATTTTATATTGCCTTCACTGCCATCCTAACACATGCATGTAAAATTCAGCAGCAGGGATACTCTAAAAGAGTCTGCAGAATCTGCTTTGCATTGTTCAAGGATCAGACTCCATGAAAACCTTGCTGAACTCTGAAGGGAAACCCAGTGGTCAAAGCAGACTTGACAAAACACTTCCCCACACTGGTGTTATTTTTTCTTTATTCACGTAGAGAAACTTTCCCTAATCCCTTATAATCCCAAACTCCTACAGAAAAACTCTCAGCCTTTGACGCTTCTGGGTCAAAAAAAAAATGAAAGGGCTGAATTCTTTTCATGAAAGCAGCAATGGAAATATTGATTACTCCTAAACCTTTTTACAGCAACAGAAAGCTAATATGCAAGAAACCATTTTTTTTCCCTCTTGGCCTCTCGAGTGTTTACACTTCATAAGCACATACACCTATGACATCCTTTTACTTTCAGGTCATAGACTGCATTTCAACAGACACTGAAAACATTTCAGTACTGTAGAAAATCAAACCAAAGGATCTGAAATATTCAGGACTTCGTCATTGTACGGCCAAGGTAATATAAATGTATAGTTTTGTCAGACAAGTGTAAAGGGACAGATAACAAAGATGTGAGATCTGCATTTCTCTTGCTGTCCCAAGTTTATGTATTAGTACATACACGTACCTACAATATAATATGTAATGTTTACAAATGTCGAAGATGAAAGGGTCGAAAATTGTTTTTGAACTACATGTTATTGTTAACATATCAATCCAAACATGCACATGTATAGATGTAAATCCAATCTAAATACCAACGCAGTGAACAAACAGCAATGAGATTGGAAGCTTGGCAATGTACGCCCATGACGTCCCCTAGTTGGTACTACAGAGTCCAGCAATGAAGAGGTTGGCTTCATGAAATGGCACATTTCTCAGCCTTCAGATGTATACACCCCCCCCATCTGTCAGGATCAGAGTACTGATGGATCGCTTTCTAAACAACACTGACTCCATACAACGATGCTTGCCAGAGCGGTGAACTCTCTAAACATACTGAATGTATCTCACAGGCACCATTGATCCTGCCACCTCAAGACTACATGTAGTTACTCTCTGTGCATGATGTTGGAGCCGTGCTAACCTGTACAAGGTATCTATACACCTGTAATCTTGCCAAGGGAATCTGCAATAGAACACTGTTCATATTCAAACATGGTTCACTGCATCTGACCTGGTTGTTAACGGCAGAAATAATTCAACAGTTAATCCACATACATGAACCTGTATATGCTTTTCAGCATATTCTATCATGGCTGGCCATACACATGCACATGTGCATGTACATGTGCATTCTATGTACAATGTACTGTGCTGAATCATGAAGTGATCAGGGGCCAAACACAATTTTTTTTTTCTTGAAAGATACAGAGAGAAACGGGATTGTCTCATTTCCTTCCTTCCAAAGTGTGTAAAAAGCCCCAAAATGCAATGCCATCCCTCAAAAAGGTCATATAAGGTTACAGAGATAAAAATCTCATTACTCCAGCCACATCAAGTTTGGCCCCTTCCCTAAATATCTGGTTCCGGATCTGCCATTTTCAGTGAACCATAGGCCTCCATAGTTCCCTATATACAGCTGCCTATTGAAGAGTACTTGATACCCTACAGGTAATCATAAAAAGCATGGAAAACATTTAATCAATTCGTACACTGCTCCTGCTTCAAATAGCACACTCTTACGGGAGGGGAGGGGACAATCTACCTCGTTAAGGAGGTAGGCTATATAATTGTATCCTGTCCGACTGTGTACACTTGTAGTTAACATCTGTTTTCAATCATGGTGTGATCAATTCCACATGCACGAAGACTAGAAATCCAGGGAACCAAACTATGCTTGTCTGCCTAAACACGCCCACCATACATGTACATGGACATGGACAATCAACAATCAACAAATATCTCAGCCAATTTATTCCCATCATGTGCTATGTATTTTGTTGTCAATTAAAACAAGTTGAATGTGTTTGATGAAATTGGGTGTCGTGACTGACATTTGTGCACACCAGACAATTGGAGCCTAAGTCAAGTGTGCTGTCAATTGGCCTTTAGCGGGTAAGCGTCCACACAGCAACCATGTAGGATGTTTTGTCAAAGAGAATACGTTATAACTAGACCATGTATCAAGTGGTAATTGCTTGGTTTTCATCACACATATGTATGCACACAGGGCTCATACATTTCAACCGATACACGTACTAAATGTACAATAGGCCTGTGGCTACCAATAATGAAAGAAATTTATGGTTTAGCTCTAACAGATTCAAGTTTGGCGTGACTTGGTTCAGTAATGTTCTGCACATTGAGCCTTTAATTGGCTCGTGCTAAAAGTGTGTGTGTGTGTTTTTTTTTTCGGCACAAAAAATTTCAACTCGAGAGCAACTGTCAAGGCAAAATCAAAATGGCGTCTACGATTTCCTTGATCAACTTCCATCCCTACGGGTGAGTCACCCCAGCCACTGTGTCTCCCTTCTGCCTGGAGGGAAATCAGGTTAATTTATTCTTCAAGTTGACGTCCTTGAATACAGAGCTATTGTTTTTCGTTGGTCAAACACTGGCTACAGGGCCACTGGGCTTTTGTGGATTAAGGATGTTTCAATTTGCAAGGATTGCATTACAGTGTCTAGCTGTAAGCCTAAGACGATTGTTCGCATTGTTCTCAGAAGCCATAAAATACAATAGGTAAGACAATGTATCATACAGTGCTGTGGCACTATGAATGCTTGGCTTTATTGTTCTCTGTCCAAGTAACAATGGAAGTAACCTAGCCAGAAGTAGTAATCTGTAGCGCTAGGTCCTTCAGGCTCAGGCTACTACTTAGTATTTTGTAGTACTGAGTAGTGTAAGCCAAACAATATGCTTGGCGGTTAGGGTTAAAGAGACTTATGTGACTGACACTCCAGAACCAAACTGTACTAAGTGAGAAAGCACAGAATCCCTTCAGGAGATAAAGTGTATAAACACCCAACCAATAAACATTCGTTAAACTACGATTTGTGCCTATTAGGATAGAGTTCTCTACTACCAGGGCTGGTGAAGATTCTATTCTTAGCTTGCGGTAAGCAGTGTTGTTATATTGGGTCTCTATTCTATTAAAGTCAACTGTCTCTTCCGCAGAACCAAATCATCACTGCGTGTGCGGATAAAAACAGACCTTAAAGTACTAGTCCACTGTACAACCGAACTATCAATAAAAACATGGAATAACTAAATCTTTCAATCCTTGCCCAAACTTTTCATATTTCTTTGGCAAACTTCTTCTCTTTTGTCATAAATCTAGGGCCTTAATGCATAAATTCATAACAAACAGAACAGCTTCCGGGACTTTGATTACAGTTGTGAACAGGGTTCATGCAAACTTCTGACAAATACAGGTACCACACAATGACCTGTAAAAATGCCCGTAATGTGAAGTTGTTAAAGGTCTTTGACAACGAGAGTTAAACATAAAAAAGGCTTCTTAAATCTCTATCATGTACATGTAGCCACAGCCCCCTAAGAACTTCTGCACTTTGGTTCTAGCAAGCTAATGAAGTATGGAAAGTGAAACAAGAGATTCACCTTATGAAAGTTCAGTTCCATGGTGACTCAATAAGGCAATGTAACCATATATGTGTAGGCCCAAAACAGAGAGCTAACTATGCGCGAGGTACATGTAGAATGAATTTTCAAAGGCAAAGAAAATTTACAACAGCAAAAAATCCTAAATTCTAGCAACTTTTGGATGTGAAATGACCGTAGCAAAGCAACAGTGTTACTCATCAATTAAAGAAATTAATATCACATGAACACCAAAACAAAAAGGCGTCAAAATACACTTTTAAGTGCCGAACGAAAATAGAAATAGGGCTAACTTGGACACAAAGGTGCATTTTCAAGGGTAAATTTAACCATCACAATGCACAGGCCTTTTAATATTATGAAACAAGTGGCCAAGCTGCCCATGTGAACAACAGAACAGCTGAAGGACCAGTGAAGTGTAATGAGTGATAGGCATGAGTAATCAACAGATGTACAAATCTCCACAACACCACAGGACATCCCGATTTCACTGTTACAGTGCTGGTCAGGGGAGGATACACTAGATCTATTTAATCTCGACATTTCCTTATCCCAAGCAGACGCCAAGGAAGAACACGAGTCACATCTTGTCACACACTCGGCTGACTAATTGATGACGAACTGATTGAGAACACTGCCAAAAGGTGTCACACAAAATGTGACCTTCCCGACAAACTTTAAATGGATCAGAGGCCAGATATGGAGCAATAGACAGGGTTAAAGCCAAGCTTTGTACATGGCTCTAAGCTACATATAGTGCATGCAATGAAAGCTTCTTGGTAATACGTTCAACAGATGATCCTAAGACGGTCTGAAAGTCTAGCCGGTGGAAGGTGATATCACATGTACCTATTGGGGAGCCAGTGGCTAGTTGCTGTAGCCACTTCCCAAAGAGGTGTGTGCTGTTGTCAGCCACAGCAGCAATTATAGGAACAGTCTAGCCTTAGTACGAAAATTATTGATGGCTGAAGAAGGGTTGGCAAAGACAAGATGACGAGCCTACGTACCTCAGCCGGCATGTGCATGAGCAACACGGCAGCAACAGGTGCCTGTGCTTGGCAGTACCCATCCCGTGGGTTGTAGATGCTATAGGCCTTCAGAATGCGGAACAAATCCTGCTGACCGTGGCCATCGCGGCTGGCGAACATCTCATGGAAGGGGAACTGTCGGTCCAAATCCTTCTGGATGACCTCGATCCACTTGGGGTCACCTTCGGAGGAGTCCAGCTCCTGCGGGTCAGAGAGAAACTTGTTACATTTTACTGGGCAACGTGATTGGTTATCAGTCACTAGAAATTCCTGAAGAACAGCTCTGCATAATGACCACAGCTGCAAAGAAAAACTCCAATGTCTGCTTCCACAGGACACAAAATGGCTTCACTATAGATACAGACAACATGCATCAATGCAGATAGGTCCCATTTTGTGTCCATAAATTATGACAATAGCTCCGACAACTCTACTTAGGTTTTCACGAGACAAGGCTGCTCTTCTCAGCTCAAAATGCTCCAAGCAGAACGTGCCATTCAAATATCTTGTTAATGACCCTGCCTTTATGGAGGCTACAAAATACGGACTACAAACAGAAACTTGGAAATGCTGCCAAACGTCTACATTCAGCAAAATATAAATGACCGCATCAGACTAACCTGCCATCTCGCTTTATTCTGTTCATAAAGCTTCTTGCTTCCACACAAATACTGCCATGCTCTGGGACGTATAGAACAGGGAATGCCCTTCCGACATCGTTCCCGAACCTATGCATCGATTTAGACACAATGAATCTGTCAAAGAAGTTTCAAATGTTCGTGGGCCTCAAATCGAAAGCGTTTCTGGGGAGGGAAAGTTTAGAGTTGGGGAAGGGAGAGGGGTTGAAGAGGGAGATAAGAATGGTCAAAAATTGCAGATCATCATCTATTCTAAACATGTTCCAATTTAAAATGAACAAAACACAGAATTCATGCCAGATCAGACCATTGAGCTTCTAGATTTCTTAAGAGCGTGTTTAGTGCAAATTCACCCAAATTTATCCACTTAAACACTGCTTCTCTGTTTATTTGAAAACACCATGGAGCTTTCATATTTCTTGTTAATGATATGTTTGATGGAAATTCACCCAAAGTTACCAACTAAAAATGTGTAGAAACATTTTGATAAAATGAAAACACCGACATCTCATCTTCCTGACCAAAGATTTTTAGGGCACTAACACAGCTATTAGCCTCGCATTCCTTTTATGGTCTTTATACCAGTACATGTAATTTTGGTTTTCTTTTCTTTGTAATTTTTGTATTCCTTTTGGCAGCAGCTTTTTTACCTTCTTGGGTTTTTTATTCATCCATTTATCCCAGTCATCCAGCATGTCCAGCCATTTGATCTCTCGTCGTCTAATCACCTGCACCGGGGTATTCCAATCCCTGACATGTATAGGAAATTAAACAACGTAATGAAATGTATTTGTCGTCCGAGGTCACCTAATGATGCTTATTCTGCACCGATGGGCACTTCACTGACCCTAACAGGTCACAGTTGCCATTTGAATGCTTTTGTTCAACTGAAAGAAAAATTGCACAGTTACATATGTACAGGCGGATGTTGGGAAACAGCTTTCGCAGCCCTAAAAAACGTTACAATTTACCCAATCGGCTAAAAAATTGTAACGTTTTTCTTTCAAGGATATCTCAACGGAAAAATTAATCCAAAACAGTACAACAGCACAAAATTAAGAGTGCAACATAAATTACAAGAAATATCATTAAAACAGTGAAGATTATTTCACACAATAAAACCAGTGAACTAATCAGTTAAGCAGAACCAAGTCTGACAGTTCTTTTTCAATGACTCTTTGAGTATTACCTGTAAGTTTTGCCCTTATCAAGCTGCACTTTCTCCCGCATTTTGCCTGTTTTATTCAGGTCATCTTTTCTTACTTGCCGTTTAGTTTTCCATGCAGGGATGATACTGTTTCCTTGCTCTACAGTTTTTCTAAGCCTTTTTTTCAGTAAGCATATTCTCGGTAAGCTGATGTATATACTTTCTTAAATTGACTTGAGCCTAGTTATAAATGTCAAAAAGAAAAATTCAATTCTATTTCCTGAATCCCGTAGACTTGTGCTGAACTCCAATCATACAGGCTTCAAAATCGGTCTATCTTTAGCAGCAGTCAGAATTTATTTTGAGACCCAAATTATGTTTGTTTTAAAACTGCCAGATTATGTACAGAACTGTACACTACACAGTAGTTCAAACGTGTACAAGTGTACATATGCAGCTGTTCACCTACATGTACATGTACATGTGTGTGTGGTGACCAGCTACGACAGTGTGGTAAACCAAGGAAGGTGAACTTCCTGACCTTTGGACAAAATTAGGAAGCCGACAGCCGACATTACGGAAATCAGAGAAACATTCTCTACATCCCGGTCAGGTGAGTGCATTGGCTTCAGATGGCAGGCAGGCCCTTGGGATTGGATAAAAGGTAGATCTCTTGGGGGAGGGGGACAGAGCTTGGGTAAGAGGGAGGGAGAAAATATAGGGAGAAAGGCTTGCGGTAGCACCTACTGCTGTCTTTCACCATGAACTGCAGGAAATTCCATCAGGAGGAAATAAACGAATCAATCTAGAAAGTATCACAATTTGAATAGCCCTGAGTGGTCAGACCGGTGAGGGGGAAGGGCTGGGACGCAGATATAGGGTGGGAAGTGTCAATATTCCGTTGAGTAAAGCGGCAGATGATTCCATATTCGGTCCACATTGCTGGTGATGAATTCGGAATTTGACACAGATGATGAATAATAAATTTAACATGGATCCACTGTTCTTCAAACTGTCTAATGACATCCGAAAATTGGAAAAGTTGATTGGATTTTGCTGATCAGAAAGAAAATGAAGGATTTGCAAAGACATTGAGTTCAGCAGGCAGCGTGTTCAATTTCTGGTTGGCAAAGTTTCGGACCATGCAATGTCTACATGACATCAAGTTGAAAATCTGATACAAGGCAAAGAAATATACTGCAATATAAACACACCACACATAGAGGCCATCGGATAACCCCGACAGCAGGAAAAGTGTCATGAAATCGGATCACTTACCATTTCCTAATTTCTATTTTAATTATCTCCACTATTGCTGGACGGAGTAATATTATAGCAGGAATTTCTACGTGTATATCGTGAGTAAAAACTCGAGTTACTACTGAAGTTTTGTTACGGATTTATGTCAACGTTACTACAACAACCCATACAATCAGCCCAAGCAGTGTGTGTGATATTACAAAACATCATACATGTAGATGTTTATTTATCTAAGTGGCAAGACCAGTGCTTTGGCAATTGTATCTCGGGTAAAAGGTTAAATCCTATCCACACTGTTACCCTGGTAGGAATCAAACCTGAAGCTGCCATTCTGCATACAGTTACATGTACCTGCATCTGTTACAAACAGAGTGGGCTTCTGGAAATGATATGTGCTCTAAACATATTCATAAATTAAAGTGCTGCATACATGAATTTGGTACCACAATTTGATGAAAACACTGCATGTGATACACATTACATGCGTACATGGCACATTTCAATGCATACGTTGGGCGCAACCAGTCAATCTGCACCATCGCCTGATTACTCAGGGTACCACTGGTCAATCCTGCATGAAATCTCCAACTTACATGTAACTTTCCTTCTTGTAAGCCATCTTTCACAATTATGAAATGGAAAGACAAGGCAACGGGCTGATGGCAGAATTATTGACACATCGTGCAGTAAGATGGAATGATCACGTGCAAAGATTGGGCAATCAAGCATATCGACCAAGGGTGCTGAACACAATACATACATGTACATGTACACGAATACATTTTTATACACTCTACAAAGATGAATAAGAGGTCTAGATCGTAAAAAGTAGACAAGTCTGTTTGTTGAACTGACCACTAATTATAAGCCCACTGTTTTAATCAAATGTACTGGTGCATCATTCCGGTACATGTACACTTGCCATACATGCCGTGTAGCAGGTACATCTAATCGATCAAATACCATTTAAAATAACATTGATTAACATTAGTTAAGGCCACCAAAAAAAAAAATAGTTACTGATGCCTATTTACTTTCCATTCCTACTCTGTCGTCGTGACATGAAAGTTTTTTAGGGAAGAAAATTTGGGCGATATATTGAAAATTGGAAAGAAAGAAAAATGTGTCTGCTGTAGTTTGAATGTGGTGCAAACAGGTTCAGTATCCTTATTTTACACACAACTGGTAAGCTATGCTTCAAAGTGTTGTTCATTTCATTTGAAATAAACATCACCTAACCTCTGAACTGCTGCTATTTTTAACCGGTTAATACTCACATGCACGCTGAATCTGCATGAAAAAATCCCCCCCCCTCCAAAAAAATCTACCTACCTAGCCTGTTATCAGATACCATGTAAATTGTAATCAGCTCCGGGTGGGGACAAAGGAGGGCATGTTTGGAAATGAAATGGACAGTCTTTTGGTACGCATTCACGGCACATGCGCGCAAGTTTATGTGTGTTTGACAAGGAGCATGCTGAGTAGGCGCGACAAATTTTATCTGGAATGTACGGTCTTCGCGTGCGCGCCGAACGCGTGCAAGAACCCGCTCGAAAAACTTCATACCATCTGTCTTTCTTTCGCCGGTGAGGGCGCACTTCAGCTCAGGGTGGACAGGAAACAGAACTGTTTTTTGGGAGGAGGGAAGCTGATCAATAAATTTTAGTAGAATGGAGGAGTAAAATCAGTACACACTCTAGAATGCAGATTCACACGTACGTTATTGCTAGGACTACATGTATACTGCACATGTAGCCATGTATGAGTTTGGTTTGTTTCCAAAAGGTCACATTTGACGGTAACCTCAGAGTTTCAGGTCAAATACAAACAGCATGTTTGTCATTTGAATACATACTATGTTGCACATAGGTTGTCATTGTAATGGGTGGTCATAAATCTTTACACTATGCTACAGGTAACTGAATAACTGTTCAGGTGAGGTCAAGGTTCATGAGAATTGCCTCTTCAGCAAAAACTACATGTAGCCCAAAACATTTCTTTAAAAAATACATGGCAAACATTTTCAAAACGCCATTTCTGCTGGTATTGATTAAGACACACTTTTCACTGTCAAGTTACACCTATCAAAAGCCCATGAAGAAGTCCCAACGAAAAAAGTCATGTCAAGATCTTCACGTGGTGTGCTGGGGCATTCCAGGATATACTCAATGGATAAATGATACTGTGGTAGCAACCAATGAGCTACCAGATACCATGGCTGGCCGACTTATTTTCTAAATTAATTAGGTTAGGTTACATGTTCTGGGAACATGCTGAGAATAGACCAGGTTGAATCACAAAATCTGCAGGCCCTCGGGCAGCCAGACTAACCTTAAACAATGCCTCAAATGGACCGTTAAAAATAACAAGCTGGTCTTCCAACTACATTGTACATGTACATACAGAGCATACGTGCGAACACAAATGAAACCATTTAAAAGCCTGTCGCAGCACTGGAAAATAAATGTCTCAAATGTTGGCATAATGCAACCAATCTTGCGTTCATAACCTGTACAGAAAATGGTAAGTATACAGTGAAAGTCTTAAATAAAAACCTTTTTAGAGTTAGTCCACTTCTAAAAATGTGGAAATCTTTTTCTTAATTTTCCACAAATTCTTGCAAGTTTTTGGTGATCAAACCAAATGAAATGAATAAATCCGTCTTTAGATGGCCAAAGATACTGCCTGATGCAAGAAATAAATGTGTGCCTTTTAACAAGTTGAAATGCAGTGTGTAATCCTACGGGTCATTCTATAAATTAAGGGTCAAATCTTTTTTTGCTTCCCTGTCACATCTGACAATGTGACATATGACTGTGTAAGTTCATAACACATTCTCTAATTTCCAGGTGTGATAAATTAATGCAAATTGCTTGCCACACAAATAGAAATAGTTTGAAATCAATTTCAGTGATATTTCCATGCCATATTATACAGGTCAGGTGTACACGTAACTGGTATGCAAACATGTCACACTTTTGGACCCCGAATTTACTGAATGACCCATATACACTACCAGACACTTAACTGAAAATGGCAGGTACCTTGCTCAATGTTATGATGTTACCGCCTGAAACCTTAACAAAAACAAACATTCCTTTTTGGCTCAGTTAACAAGTTCTGCGGCTTCCAAGTATTTTCTGGTACGTGCATATTTCCAAGGCACTGTAACGCGAGGCTGTTTGCTGGAGAACCAGGCTACGACAAAATATGTCACCGTGTTACACTCACGGTGACACAGCGGGACATGCCAAAGTTTGGCTGGAAAGAAACTCTTCATGAGAAAAAGGGCATGGGCAAAGGACAAGTATCGTGAAACTGTGCTGAGATTAATTAAATACAAGAAAACGAGCACAGTAAGGGGGGGAGGAATGAGTGATTCCAAGGAGAAATGAGCAAAGGAGAAAGAGGAAAGAGCAATATCATGCCCATAATTGAACCACTACTGTAGGGTGTATTCTGAACACTTATTAAGTCTTTGTAAAGATGAAATTCCTGATTTCTTAAAAACTACACGATGTTGATCAGGTTAACAAACATTTTCATACAAATCAATCTTTGAGTCACTTACCACTGACTATAGTTCAATCCCTTTTATATATATACAAATATATACATGTATACAAATATCTTTTTGTCAGCACTTACGAATCTTTTGTAAACTGTTTGCCACCTGTGAAGCCAAACCGATCCGTCTGCTCTTTGGGTCTTGTTGATGCCACCATGCCATTGGCTGTTAGCCCTTCTTCATCAGCCAATGAGGATGGGCTGGGCAGGGCATTAGCATCCTCCTCACTGGAGGCAACCGAGACTTCATCAGTGGGCAAATCCTCAGCCACATCGTGTCCATTATTCATAGCCATATCCATTATTTAGTTCCAAGCAGCACTGATGATGTTATTTACTTTGACCAAGCGCTTTGTCAGATCACTATGCTGAGGAAAAAGATAAACAATTTCTGTGTATTGTTGGGCAGAATGGTGAGCCTGTCAAATATCAATTCAAAATACTAAAGACTGCAGCTCTAGTAGCCAGAAGAATCCTAATCAAACATGTTACATGAAACTCAAATTAGGGAAAGCTCACTTTAGGAAACCAGCTTGAGTTATGTACAGGACCAAATTCTTCTGTAACATAAAATGAAAATTGAAAATTCAAACTTATCTAATTTTTCCAACGTTCTCTGCAGTTCATATGCGGGCATCCCATGTGAAAACTTCAGGTCATATGTAGGTCAGGTCACAAACTAACATACATACGGTCTGATCAAGTGTCTTAGCTATTTGAATTTCTAGCCGTACTACCACATGGCCAAGCGACCTTTTGCTAATGGCATAAAGGGCACTAGCGTATGCCGTACATGCCATTAATTCTACTACAACAACAACAACTAACATACATGTGTACCAGTAAAGGCAAATTTAAATCAAAAACAAAATTTATATTTCTGATGACAATACAGAAAGTCTGTCAATTTGAGATATTAATTAAAAAGGGAAACACTTGCGGGGTAAATTACCTTCAGGGTAAAAAATCCTTTTAACCCCTCGAGTATGATTAGTGTACATTGATGCATACTACATGTACATGTATTTGACTAGGCAAAAATTAGGGAAAATTTTCATTTACAGTACCCAAGTGACAATGATAGCATACTCAGAAGAATAAACAAGATGGTAGAACAATGGAGGAAGGAATACATCTCATCAATGACGTCGAGAAAGAAAAAATTTCCTATCTATTGCATATTTCTACAGATAAATTTGAAAAAAAGAAATACATTTTGTGGGCCTAATATTAGGCTTACCCACCACAGAAGGGACAGGCCTAGGACTATATAATTCAAATCACTAGGCTTAGCCTACCTTTGCTTTCTGTCATAGCATGGAAGATTAAGAACATTCCTCCATTATCAAAGTGTCATAATGGTCATGGCATACTATTTGAATAAGCAACTTAATCAGTAGACTTTGAATGTGGCCCCAGTAAATATGATCAACTAGCTAGGTAGGAAAACCTCCACATCATGATGAACATAAGATTCCTCCAAAATGTGCTTGATTTAGTACGCCCCCTCTTTTTTAGTTTAAGGGACGTTTTTGCTTTGACATTCGTACGCGATGATCTACATTTTCAATGTAGGCTACAGGACATGTGTACACGGATATGAAGTACATCAACAGGACCCACTCTCGGTCGTACATGTAACGGACCATGAACGGACTGACAAAACCATGAACGAACCAAGTGAAGAGACCGAGGAATATGCGAAAAGGGAGTAGCAATTCTGCTGAGAAAAATCAATCTGCAAAGAGAACTTACTGCTTATAGTCATATATCACCTCTCTGTAACCCATTTCTTTGACATCAGAAATTTCTCCGTACTCGAATCCTCCATCTGAACAACAGGCGGCTCGATTGATTTCCACGATGATCACGTACAGAAACGGGATCGGGACGGCAAAATGCAAAATGCTTTTAGTGTATAAAATGCATACGGAACTGAAATAAGACTGGTTCTATTCCACCGCATTTTTAGTTCTGATGGGACGTGAATGTTTCTGGGTACACGACAAAAAGCGGAAGTCGCATGCTGCTAGCCCATGCGCACTAATGTTTTGGTTTTAAAGGGCCGGTTGACGTCTTCCAGTAGGGAGAATTTGAAACAACCCCCTGCGATGTTACGTGTGGAATAAAAATAATTGTCTTATTTCACCCAATACATTTCATGCCCCACCCATTTTTAATTCGGTTGAATTGGGTAACCTGCTTCTACCCATTTACTTGAGATGTTGCAGCCGCTTTCTGATGTCCTCGTTTTCTGCCAGTTAGCTTTCCTTCACATTTACAAATTAATTTGTTTTTGACTGAGCCCGCTCTTTGCGGAAGATTCCCTGGCAAAAGCATCAAGAGTTGTTGTAAGAAAGAAAGAGATCTGCCTCGTCAAAAAAGTAAATGTACTAACTCTGAATCTTGTTAAAGGAGCTGCAAAAGAAAATGCTTTAATGTGAGCTAGCGGTTTACATTGACATGTAAGCGGGTTATGAAAGACAAGCAAACATCAGTAGGCCATCAAAGAAGCTTTATAAGCGAGGGAACTTTCTAGGGCCCTTTACTTGAATTCACCTCTAAGACCTTAATGCGGTGTGTTTTGGTGACACCCCAACACTTAGCCAACTTTCAATAAGTGGACCTATGATTTCTGAGACAATTTTCCAAACTAAACGCCGGTTCATACTACAGCAAATGCAAAAGTGAAGCGAATTTGACGTTACAAAAAAGTTTCTGGGAAATTTCGCTGGTTCATGTTGACGAATTCGCCACGCGAACATTTGACCTTTTCTTACAAATTCGAAGTAGGCCTATGAGCCAGCCATTAAGCCACATCTTGATGCATCGAATAGCGTGTATAAAAGGGGCGGGGCATATCTAGTTTACCTATTCATGTACACCATTGCGGGAGATATCGAGAAGGGCGGAATAGATAAGCGTGTCTGAACAAAAGTTGGCGCATTTGACTTACCCGTTGGGTTTGGCTCGAAGAGTGCTATCAGGGCGGGATAAGGAGTTGCTCTCGCTTTTCCATTTATTTCTATATCCTGCCATGGTGAGTCAGCAAGGGACCAGTCGGCCTAGGGGGCGAGTTGACCTGACACCGCTGCCATAGAGCCGCCGTTTTAACACAACCCGGTAACAAAATGATCCACTAAGCCCCGCCCCGTTGTGTTCTGTATGCCTCTCTCTAAGGCGACGCAACTACACAACGCGATGGCACGACGGCTCCCTAGAGTTGCGCCGTCGCACTGTCGCCTTCTTGCCATTACGTTTGCACACACACGGCGCCTGCAGACAGAAATTGGAAGAAGGATTGGCCGGGTAATTAATTAAAGAGTGACGAATTCTGGCCTTACACTTACTGTGTGAGAGCAGTTCCAGCATACGCAGATTTTCTCTTTGCCCTTTCTTCCTTTTTAAAAAAATAAAATATGACAAAAGAAAACTCATATTGATGAATTGATGAATTGATGAAATAAAAACAAGAAAAATCAACGCGGCTCAGGACATGTATTTTGTAAGCGCGGGAGACGGAAATGGAAGAAAACAGTAATGGCGCCCTCTGTAAACACCGTGAAGCGAAGGGCTGCAGCATCGCTCATGCCGCCGCGTCGTGTCGTTGCGTCGCTTAGAAAGAGGCAGAAATGTGTGTCGTATATAGTACATCATAGTTCTGACAGTCACACTCATGATAATGCACAAAAATCAGACATACGTGATTACGGCTGAACACACAGTGTGGCATTTGAGAAGAGCACGTGCTCGTGCCCATATGCGTAGTGGGTGGGGCTAACCATAGGGTCGGTCTACTCCCAACCTGTGGATTCTCTGTCGACTGTGACCAGACCGCCCATCAAGTACATAATACGTACGCCGGGGGGGGGAGTGGCATAGCTACGGGGGGGGCACGTGCCCCCCCCCCCGATTCCCGGTTCCCTCCAGGTGCCCCGCCCAATAAAAAAAAACCGGATGAATGGGTATTGAACAAGGCTAACAAAAGCTTGCCCCTTAAAAACACACCTTTTAAAGCTGGTGCCCCCTTGCCCCCGCTCCCAGTAAAATCCTAACTACGACACGGGGGGGGCTTGCATGTACCTTGTGCACGGGGATGAGTCATGGTCTACGCAAAACGCAAACCTTGGTTTTTCATGGATAATTATGAAGTTAATGTACTTTCTCACATGTTGTCTAATGTATGGAACACACATTTTTGTCATATGTCATGTTACAGAAATCCCGAAAATCTATTGAACATATTTTAAAAAAATATCAATTTTGTTAAGACCTATAGGCCTATATTTTAAGCAACAGTGATGTTTTCCTCTTGCCCTTGTCAAGGCTTGTGTTAATGACTGTTACACTTACACTGCAAGATTTATTTCCTTACATAAAATTGACGGGATCAGCCGATCGCACGNACGACGGGCGACGGCAGATATGGAATTCCATACTAATGGGACCAACCTTTACATACCCATTAAAACGGTTCATCTCACCCTCACCATTTAGATCTTACTGGTACCATCTTATCGATGTGATAAGGCACAAACATGAAATGCTCGGGGTGGAACCATCGCGTAGAACGGTCAGAATTTTCTGCGTATGGACGGTCCCCTACAAAATGCTGCAGTGGTTGAATTTGGCGTAAATCTTTGCTGTACTTAGGAACCCTTCGGACGAAATGGTGGTAACGACGAAGAAATCAAATGTGATTGAAGTTTACTGTGAACTTCCAATCCCCATCCCAACGTTGCGTTTTCTCATGACTGTAAGCATAGCTTATTGACTATTATGAGCGCAAATCGTTACATTTAAGCCGTCTGATATATCCTTATAACAATTTCCATGATTTCAGTTCTTGGTAAACTTCTATAAAATGGCCGACTGAACGGTAGAGGGCGCCCTGTATTGTACAGTTTAGTGCTGACTGAGGGTTGCACTACACCAAATACGCGCCCATAGAAAACAGTGCGGCAAGATCGGACCAAAATAGCGCCGCCTGTTGACTCTCGTGAAGAGATTGGCCTCCATTTTTTCATTGGAAATTCAAGACTATGGCCAAAAGATCACATTTCGCTTCAATTGCATGGGGTTATCCACGAAAATTGCTTTTTATTTGCCTTTCAAGGAAGATACCCCAAAATAGCAGTAAAACGAAGCGCTCATTTCTGAATCTAGCCGTCCGCCTCTATCCCAAAAAAGGCCCGCAATTTTGGGCTTTTTGTGAAAGAAATGCCCCGAACTGGAAACTATCAGTCCCAAATTCGGGATTTATAGAAATATTTCTATGATCCCTCCTGATTTTGGTCTGTCTTATTGGAAAAATCCCAGGGGATCACAAAATATTAATGAGCTCGCGCGCAGCTTCCATTAATACGCCCTGAGCTGTATAAAGAGCCGAGCGAATTTGCGACATGAATGTGTCAGTTGCTGGAACCAAAATGATGGATTGTTCGTCAGTGCAGAACAAAATGGGGCAAATACGCTCAAGGACCACTAGCTAACAAGTGGTTGGTTTGTTACGTACCAAGCGCATGTGCAGTGAAGTGCGAACAACCTTAGGTATAGTCATTCGATGTCAGGTTATTATGTCGAATGGGAAAAAAGGTGGTCGCAGGACGGGCAAAATAGCAAAAATAAAAGTGAAAATGGTCGTTTACTAGTCACATACTGTTTTCTGGCATTTTTCCTATTACTGGTCCTCTCTGCATTGTGCTACTAAAAACGATTTATGACAACCAACAATGCGACCAACCTCGATAGGCTGGTTGCGAATAGTTGACTAGGCTAGTCAAACCATCGTCGACTAGCCTTCGTTCGATCAGAGTTACGGGGCCTTTCCATATGCATGCATGTCAATACTTGGGCCAAGCGTTGCGTCTCCGTCAAAACTACTCTCTTTATATATACACACTTTTTTTCAAAGAGCTTACTCCCCCAACTCGAACGCAAGGGCGCTGGGTGCCGGCAATTCTAATGATGAGTTTTGCGTCCAGGACGGAATTCAGAAACCAAAGGTATGGAATTCCATTGCTGCCATTACGAGGCGCATTTGGGGCAGTGGCCTGGATCTCCCCACACTTCCGCCGTTTGACGGCGCGTTGTCGCGTTGCGTTGCGTCGTGCCGTCGCATCGTCGCATTGTCGCATTATCGCATCGTCGCATTTTCATTATAATGGAATTTGTTTCGTGTGCTCCGCCAGGAGGGCGCTGTTGCTGTTGTGACTGCGGTGTTTAGCATAAATATCCCCTATAATTATTCCCGTTAGGACTAGTTTTAATGAGCGTTTCTTTCCGAGTTCAAGTTTATGCCATAAGATGAATAGGCCTACATCTTCAGATTATACGTTAATGAATCCCCCTTTGCGTTGCCACGTGGGCAGCATCCTTTGAAATATTATATTAGCCACTGGCCAAAGGCCTAACGCTGTAACTTGGAGCGAACTGCATGTATCACCTTTTTGAAGCACTTGGACGGTAACCCCTACCCTATTATAAACAAAGTTGGATCCATTTAAAATACTCGGACGAGATGACGGCAGCAGGACCGTCAGTGGGTACAAACTAGTACAAGTTTATTGAACACGGTATACCGTACTTTCATAAATTCCTTATAAAAACCCTAGTCTGTTAATTCCTGGGCACAGTATATTTGCTCGTGTAGTTCTTTATTTCTAGTCTGGAATAGAATCAATTTCAGCTTTTCAAAACTATGACTAGTGCTGCATCCTGTGTCCATGCATTTTTGTCGTATGTCATGTTACAGAAATCCCGAAAATCTATTGAACATATTTTTAAAAAATATCGATTTTGTTAGGACCTATAGGCCTATATTTTTTAGCAACAGTGATGTTTTCCTCTTGCCCTTGTGTTAATGACTGTTACACTTACACTGCAAGATTTATTTCCTTACATAAAATTGACGGGATCAGCCGATCTGTCATTATTTTGCAGCAGGTTACACCTATCCGGAAATCTGTGAATTTTGGAGATTCAGCATGGTGTTCGTTGCAGGTAATTTATGATTTAAGAGATACGATAAAAAGTGTTTGACCAATCCTTCCCTACAAAAATGCAATGGCGTCATTCTTGACTTAATCTTGTGCGCCCTCAGCTAGCGAAACTAAAGAAAGGTCTAGGTCTCAAAATGCCTCAATGCGACGATGCGACAATGTGACGATGCGACAATGCGACGATGCGACGGCACGACGCGACAATGCGCCCTCAAACGGCGGAAGTGTGGGGAGATCCAGGCAAAAATGCCCCACATGCACCGCATAAAATGGCAGCAATGGAATTCCATACAAAGGTTCAGGGAGCAAACTTGTTGTGAATATTAATTAAACCTCTGATGGCACTTTTTTTGGTGGGGGGATTACATGCTTTGGGAAGAAAGAAAAATGAAATTAGCCAAATGTCGCCATTTTCTCACTTTTGTTATTTTAAAAAATCTGTTGGCTCTTTTTTTTGGGGGGGGGTGGCCCCATTCAGAGGTTTCTTGTGACGGAACAATGGAATTTCCATTTGTTAGTGAAATGGATCTTCTGTTGGTTTTTACGACGCAATTCATAGGCACAACCAATCAGTTGACGGGGAAGCCACTTTTACAATTAGATTTTTAAATATCAGTACTCTAAAATTCGGCGCGGGGAACGCCGTTTTGGTAGAACTAAACAGCGCCCCCATATTCACACAGTAAATTCTCCTTACCCATCATTTTTTTTTCTGCCAAAATGCCCGCCATTCCCTCTAGCTACTCCTTTGATTATGTCTGAATCCGCGCGTAAAGTTAGAGCCCACATAATACCAATTTATTAACAGGTATTAAACACCAGGTTTTTATTGACAAATGTATAGCATTTAAAGAAATATTAGGCAAAGTATGCATCGGTTTATGAGGAGCAAGAGCAGCTTGGAATTCAGTGCCTCATTTGTTGACGTGCGTGCGAACCATTCAACTGTATTCTTCCGCAATCGCCGTAAAGTTGGTGCGAGAGCCTGACTAATCGTAGAATCAGGCCAAAAATTACCGACTTCTTACGCTAAAAGTTGCTCGATTACGGGGCCAAATCCTTCTGTTCCAGGACCACTGGGAGCAGCAACGCCTAACATAGTCGCTATGAGCGTCTGATCTTTGTGACTGTTAGAGAAAGCAGCCGAACACTTCATTATCCACCCCGTCAGTGCTGTATGAGCAACCAGCGACCCGTGGGGAAAGCATGCAACAAAACCATGGCAAACGGGGTCGGTCGAGGGGCTCCGCGAGGTGAGAAGAAATGCTGTTGCTCGTTTTTATTTCCTTCATATTTGACTACAGATACGGATCTACAATTCCTGATTCATCAACCAAGTCAAAAACGCAATCTCGTAGCTGTGTTACATCCGTATATTCACTCACGAAGATAAACAGCCGGGTGATAAACATGGCTGAACCCCAAAGGGCTGAAGCGTCGACATGTAGGCCTACCGGCATTTGCGTGAAACGTGTACAACTGCAGTCAATGTGTGCGACGCATGTTTGGTTCAGGCCCAGAAATGGTGATGTCATTTTTCAGAAGTGACCATGGGGCCCTCCATCAAATCCATGTGTCAGAATGCGAATGGTGAAATGGTATCAAATTGATGTCGTATGAAAAAGTGTTCTTAGTTTGATGTAGGTTGCTAGGCCTATGCTTACAAAGCTCTTGAATAAATATTGAAGATTAAGAGGGTCCCTGTGTCAGGTTCAACATGTCCAAGGGCGGCATATCAAGGCATGAAGGGCTAGCATCATGGGTAAAGTTAGCCTTTGATCAAGTCGCCCGCTGCGAAATGGATAGTCAAGATCACACGACGAACTGCATGCAAGCCCCCTGCATGCAGTATCCGAGCTGTTTGTGCCATGGACTGTACACGCCTCCACAAGCGCCTTTGGAGCTTTGTTTCCAGTGGTTTATCTGAATTATTCAATATGCTTATGTTTTTGAATTATTCACATTTCTCTGAACCAATCCTTTTCGGGGGATTAAGTAGTCCGAGTATATATGTCTGGGCCACTTATGTTCATGAAGTCTTTGAACAACGGTGCGACCTGGTATTTGAGACTCTTGCCTTATCCAGTTGGAAGATTGACAAATACGTCTCGACCCTCCAGAACAGCCTTCACAGCCAACATTTGCTGTGGTTTCAATTTGTCGATCGGAATCCCAAGCTTCGGTGCTGCATATTTTAGGCAATCTTGAAGAGAATGTTGTCTAGAGCTTACACTACCACCGGAAAGGACGCCGTGCTGAATACGCGGGTCATTGTAATGATGAATAACTTATTACATACGCCACAGAGGCCTTTGTTTTGATTGATGTGGACATATGCATATACATATATCATATCTGCTACCGAAACAGTAGCAAATGTAAAGAAAAACTCCAGCTCCTCGCTCTTGAGCGACTATCCACTTCGCCGCATGTGCCTTGATCAAAGGCGGGGGTTAAGTGGCCAGGCTGTGCCCACTGTTTTTTTGGATGGTTTGCTTACAGACTTGGTTTCTTTTGAACCATCGATTACAAATTTATTTAAATTTGTAGGGCTTAGGGCAGATCTCATTTGAATTCTTAACATCTGCTTAGATTTAATGTGGCTCCTGTTAATTATTGAGATGTTTTTTGGGAAAGAGTTCCATATTTTTCCTTGAAATGTTACAAAAGCCATTAAAAAAGTGACAACATGTCCTGAAAAGTGAAATTAAGCCAGAATTATTGCAAAGTATTTGCTAAAAAATACTTCAGTTTTCAGACGAGTCTCATAGGTTTGTGCATAGGGGTATTAAGTGTTGTCCGTATACGGAACTCTTTCCCTAGTGTGACTAGTTACCGTAGGTCTCCTCACGTATACAACATTCTTCAACATTTTGTGTCAGAACGAGATCTTGGTTGGGCATGGTTGCTTAATTCTCACATGTCTTGTGCAATGGTTTCATTGTTGGAAAAGTATCCATGGAGTAGTATAACGCTTTCAATTCCCAAGAAGATTTACCTTTTTTGGTTTCTGATAGTACCGTAACTTTATTGTAAATAAAATAACCAATTCTGAAAATGCTAGCTGTTTATTGCCACCTTTTGCTGTGTAACTTACCAGAAATGTTAAGTTGAACTAAGTATGTGGTTTACTTTCTTGACTGTTCTTAGAATTTATTTCACTACAGTACTGATTATCAGCTTACGAATAAAGACATTTCCTGGTTGAGAAGGCTTGTTTACTTTATGTTAATCCACCCTCTGTTGTTGTAAATCACTTTCTTATAAGGGTCGTATCACCACAGTTACCACCAAATCACCATCATGATTGACCCTCTCATCACCATCACCATCATCACCCGTAATCCTCACCATTGTCACCTACAATTTATAGTCCTTCACAGCCTCCCAAACTTAGTAGATTTTGTTGGACCTTTGAGAACAAGGGTTAGGTTTTTGTGGGTTGTTGGTGTCAGTGGGGTGTGACGGTGATGGAAGTGTCTGTACTCTGTGTTTCTGCACACTTTAACCCTAACCTTCCCTAACCACACAGAATTGAACACCAGTAAAGTTTTGTTACAGTGTGCACTCTCAGTGTGCGTGTGGCGCATGTACTATGTCGGAAAAACAAGACCTATCTTACAAATGATGTGGTTTGTGGAATCGGGCAAACTACTGAAAAAAAAAGCTCGCTAACATTCGTCTTTCAACTTACTGCCCCAAATCATTAAGCATCATATGCAGTTGGATAATTTCCAGATATTTCTGGAAGAAAACCTTTCCATGAAAGTAAGTGTTTGAGTTTGCCATGGACCCAGGACTGTTTCTGTTGGCAGAAGCGGTCAATCAACTGTAGTGCACCATGTGCATGCATTTTGTACTCGTATTTGAATACCCATTATACATTCAGTATACATTAAAGTTCTGAGTATTCTGCTTTGCGGAAAATCTGCAAAAGTCGCAGATTTGGGGGTAGAAAGCGGAAAATGCAATTCTTGATTTAAAAAAAATTAAGACATAAATATTTTTGATTGTTTCTGCACAATTAATCAATATGAACCCAAATTAGGAATGACAACTCATTTTCACTGTTTAACTCACTTTGAAAGTAACATTTGGTAGCGTTTCCCCTCCTGTTTTTCCTTTGCAATATCGCAGAATTCGGTATTGATTTCCTCTGGCTCCGCATTGCAGAGATTACACAGGTCCCCGTTCCCTTCATAGTGCCCAGACGTCTCACGGCTTATGAATAAATCAATAGGGACGGGGACCAGTCCAAGATCACGGTGACATAGTGCGTGTAGGCTCTACATGTATTATTATGCCAAAGATACCTTGTAGATGTATGGTAAATGTAGGCCTACAGTACATATGTACAGTCACATACACACAGGGTTTAGAAAGCAGAAGAGAGCAGAATTTGACCTTCAGAAAGCAGAAAATTCTTGACTTTAGTATATATGTACAACCTTGACTGTTTTAGGGGCAAAGTACCCACAGATGTCCAGGGATTTTCGTTTCACATTGTGTCGTGCCAGTGACACCAGAAGGTTTTTATTTCATTTGCAAGATGTAATTATTCTAACAGCTCTAAATTCCCATTGGAGGATTGAAGTTGTAATATTTAGCACTGAAAAGGTCGTTGGAAAACTGACAGACTGGCATGTGGGAATATTGTGTCATGTAACTCGGAAAAATAAGAGTTAAAGTATTCATTTATAAAGTGCAAATTGCACACGGCTATGTTCAAACGCGCTGCACAATGAAGACATTAAACATGGTCCAGCCGATGGAATACAAGGGCACCGCAGGCAGCCGCCAAACGACCCACAGCCACCAACATCTGTAGAGAGGAGACAATAAGAAGCAGTTACGGGTTTAGAGGTGGGAGGAAAGCCACAACAGAAAAAAATTTCTATTTTAAGCTCATGGAATCAGTTTGGGACTGCAAACACAATCCACATGTGGACCGAGCCAAAATCCAACTCGGACTCCAGAGTTGAAAGGCAAGAAAAGACCTACATGTACTTTGCCAGCCTGACTCCCTACAACCTATCCTACCCTGTATGTTGTTCAGAATGGGTTTTCTTTTCTTGTACAAACACATTAATATGCACACATGAGATGAATATTTATGTACACTTACATCCTTGACTATAATGCCAGTACATGTCTGACATTTGTTTCTGCCTGCCATGATGCTTTCATCTCAATTTTGTGTTGACCATTACGCAATTGATAGACGTATAGTGAATGCAAATTGTTTGAGATATTTTGTTGATAATTAATTTCTGGTGTACATGTACTTTCTGAAGTGTTAATAGTATGTACATTTTTGTTACATGCGAATAAGTGAGTTTATTTTCTGCATTTTTCAATGTAATTCTCTTTGGAAAGGTCTTCAATTGAAAGAAAAATCCATCTCTAAAACTTGTGAAATTTTCGCAAGGTTTTTAAGATAATGTGAATAAAAAGGAAGTCTGAATTTTAGCATTAGCTTGTACAGTGTAGGATCAGATCATTTGTACAGGTTACCATAGTTTTTTAGACTGGCAATCTTCATCCAATGAATGTACCTGAGTACTTGAAGTGTTTTAAGTTCATGAACCTGGGTCCTGTAGTGCATGGGGTCCTAATGTGCATGAAGCAAGATGTCGAGGCGTTGTACAGCCTGCAGAGTCTCTGTTTGTTTGACACTTCTACAAGGAGGTAGTTGATTCTTGCCTGATTTGGGAGGGTTGGGTTGGCAGTGTCGGTAATAACATGTACGTCATGCCAAATCGTTGAGTTCCTACCTTGCATTGTTTATGTGCAGTCATGCATGAAAAAATGATATTAGGAACGCATACATTCATGTACCTTGTACGCTGGAGCTGCAGACTGTTGAAAGGTTGAGGCATATCCACATATCCACTAAATAAAAGGAAGACATATTGGAACATTGTTCTTTAAATACATGCCCAAAATGTTTTCATGGGGGAGGGGATCATTTTGTTTCAGGTACATGTATGTGTGCGCTTATACATGGGGCCTTGTGGGGTACCGGAACAATGGGAAGTACCCCACAAGGCCAGTTTTTACCTTATGGGGTACCAAAATTGGTACCCCACAAGAATTTCACAAAACTGATATTTGGAAATAACTCAAAAAGGGGAAATTTTGGATGGGTAACAATCTGTCGCAAATTGAAGTGTTTAATATAAGGGACATATGGTGGAAATTTCAACCCAGGAAAGTGAATTTGGTTTAAATTGGAGTGATTTGAAATTTTGTGTGTGTTGTGTGGGAGTTTTGTACACGAGAACAAAGGAAATACCCCACAAGTATAGTCGTGTAAGGGTGGGTGTGTTTGTGAGTGACATGACTATATAAGGTACATCTAGTATCGTGCACTGCACATAAACCATTTGGAATTCTAGAATTACGTGTAGTTTTGTACTAAATTAGGATATATGTACATGTATATCGCTCATGCACAAATGCAAATTGCAGATATGTTATCCAGTGTGAGGTTTAAGGAGGCAGTGTATTATGAAATGGCTCTTAATGTTCATTTTGAGTTATTTTTGTTCTCTTTTCAGGGGTGGTCGCATGGGGAGTCGAGGTCCCCCACCGATGCAGCACGCTCCAATCCAGAGGGAGGTGGGTTCACTGCTCAATTCCAAAAGAAAAACTTCAGCACAGGGATCCTGTTCAATTGTAGCCTATTATTTTCGCAGTGCCTGGAAGTTACGCAAATATGGTTGTTTATAGCCTAGTCGGGGGTTTAATAGCAGTCAGTAGACCGTTAGTTACACCTGATGATCTTGCAGTTAATGTTATGAAATGATATGCATGCTTAGCTGGGATGCTGAGCTGACCAGAGATGGGCATCTTTATTTTTGTATGTAGTGTTTGTTTTTGATGGATTGTTAAAAGTCTCCTCCCGAGCAAACTGTTAAATGGAAATTTCATTGTGCTCATTTTCGAAACCGTAGAGAATGAAAAGCATTTCATCTGAAAATTAGCCTTCCCAAACATCACACTGCTCCCCCTCCGAGGATGGATTTGTACCGTAATTGACTTACACAAACCCCTGACCTGAAATCGTCGGCGGTTAATATATAACTTCAAGCTTTCGGATTGCCAAAGGTGCTGATTGATAGTGCCTTTCCTTGACACCGAGTTGCATCTCAAAGACTGATAAGGCCTCTTTGTGGACACACTGAGCTGTTGGGGAGTTTCAGTTAACATCTCATCTTTTATCAGATTGAGATCTCATTGCCAATCTTCCATCTTATTTCTTTGTGTTTGAATTCACCAATTTAAACATTAGCCCAATGATTTTAAAATTTCGGTAGAAACAGTCTGGTAGTAACAAGGTTAAATTTCTTTTTACTATAAATATTGTGAAAGAGAAAATAATGTGGAAAATAAAGGTTGCATTTCCTTCCACAAGTTGCTATTCAAGATGATGACTGTTTCAAGAAGGGCAGCAGTTTATTTCACCTTTCATGCATGTCACTGAAATTGAAATTCAATCCAAAATAGTGCGTCCTGATGTTTCCAATTTGGCAAGTTCTTCTTCAGAGGCTAGAAGTCAAATGACTGGGTTATAGCACTGAAATGAAAGTTTATTGACCTTGCGTACATAAAAAACAGAAGTGAATAGGTAAACTGTGAATCCACAGTTGTTTATTCAGGCTTGACCAGAGACACTCAGTTGCTGATATATGGGCAAAAGATGACGATATGCTGCAGTGAATCTTGCTCTGGTCAGGGCTTGTGGCTCAGAATTCTCAATCAGAAAACCTTGTACTTAATCTGAGGATTTCTGGATTTGCCATGCCATGGAAAAAGCAATATTTCATTTGAAGACTTTATGGGAGGCTGTTTACCAGAGAGTAAAGAGTGGTATATGGGCTGTCTTGTAAATCATAATTATACAATTCTTTCTGAATTATGCAGTTTGACCTGCACTGTGCACAGGCGAATTGCAGATGTGTCATAACAATGCAAAGGCTTGCATAATTTTTTTTTACAGCTGTTTAAAGTATTCATGAATATCTCTATTTAACCACATTGGCACAGCAGTCCGACCATTGTGTGGGGAGCATTTTTTTCACCATATGGGAGCTTTTTACATATTTGTAGATACCTTGTGCTGTAAATTCTCATGCATTTGTCTACGGTTAAGTGCTAGAGTTTGCCTCGTTATGGATTCCTCAGGTATTGCAAGGCATCTATACCAATGAGCGCTTCACCCATGTTGGTGCATCACTCATGGTAAGTCAGTTCAGTCTTAAATTTGACTGGCGGGGGGAAGGGGGGAAGGGAAGTCAAACTTTAAGATCAGAACTGGCAAGAGATACTCTATGGAAACATTTCAAAGAGTACATTTGGACGTTATGTAGCAAAGTCATTTTTCCGGGGAGCTGTGCATAAATTAAGTGTTTGCATGTGTGGTAGTTGTTGAATCAGAAAAGTGACAGACAATGTTTAGTCATTACAGGAGTATTCAAGTTGGAGTCTTCAGACTCAAATGCACTCCTGTTTTATGTGCTTCTTGGCAAGTGTTATTCCAGCGACCTTTATCCCTAACACTCCCAAATCCTCCAATTTCAATACGATTTTACATACACCTTAGGGGGTTAGGGTTAATACTGGAAATGTCTGATGTTACACCTGTATTGTAGATACGTGTTGGTTCTGAACACCTGTCATAGCTGGAGTAGTCATGTTGTGTGCAATGACTTCATTGTCATTAATGTGATGAATGTTGGATCTCTGGCTTATTGTCGGGAGACTTGACTTCATGTCCCAAGTATTCAGTGATTTATGACACCAACTTGCTGTATTTGTTCCGCCTGACAGGGGTGCCAAGTACAGGTTCAAGTGAAGAGCAAAAAGATCTACGAGGGCATTCTGTGTACCATCTCGCCACAGGTGAGCTCTATCCTACAGAGCACACTGTTACCCTGTTTTACCCTCCCGTTTCCCTGTTCAGAAATATTTGACACAGAAGACCCGAGCCTTTGATCAAGCTGCCTTTGTTGGAGGGTGGACTTTGTTTTGTTTCTGTTCGTTTTTGGTTCCGTTGTGTTTGTGTTAATGAGGGAAACAGTAGAATTGTACGGAATACCTATGTGTTGTTACATTTGCCGTCTTTAAGTTGCAGAGTATCACAAGGCAAAAAGTTGCAAGTAAAACTGGGCTGTGCCTATCACAATGGCTGTAGATTGCTAAAAGAGTCGGTGTACTTAAGTTCTGGCCTGCACTTTTCTGCTAATCCACCTTTCTTTGGAGTTACCCCACAATTTGGGCTAGTATTGCTGAGAAGCTTGAAGTATTTGGCAGTTAATGAAAAAATCAAAGTTGTTTTTAAGACATTCCTTTTAGACTTCTCAACCTCTTATTCCATGATTCATTTCCAGAAACTTGGGCCATGTCTTAGACATGCTTTGGGTATCTATTGACATTGTTAAAGACGCTGACAATGAATTGTTTAATTGCAGGCTGAAACTGTCCTGGAGGCAGCTCACATGCTGAACCAAGGTGGAGACAATGCTGACAGCGTCCCCATCCTCAACAAGATTGAGTTCAAGGCCTCCAACATTGTCTGCATAACAGCCAAGCATGTGGACCTGGAGTATGGAGTTAGAGACAACGAAGGTGGGGTGTCGTTGGTGTTTCTCGTGGTGTGGTGTCGCGATTGGCAGATTTGTTTTGAAATTGGAAATGTTGATTTCATCAGAATCATTGCTTGACTCTTGCCTTTCCAAATTCTGGCGGTGGTTTCCTCGGTAGGATCCATTCACAGCCAGTTTCTCGCTCCTTTTTCTTTTCTTCTGTCCGTCAAGCAGATTCCTTTGTGACTGACGCTGAGATAGCCAGGCGGCAGAATGGTCAGGCAGGAGAACGAGAGCTGAAGGAGTGGCAGGGATCCCCATTGGAAGAGGACATGTCCTTGGAACCCTCTGCTGGAGATGGGGTAAGATGAACCTCCGTACTATCAGCAGGGAACCCTTTGCATGTTTTGTTTGAAAGACAGACTAGCCAACCACAACTAGTTGCATAGCCTTCTGTACCAAATAAGTAACATGAGATGCAGAAATCAGAGGAGAACCAGTCATGAGGAATGTACAGTATAGGGCATTTTAGCTGGTAAGCTTTTTTGGCTTAGCAAATATTTTCTTTGATTTTTTCTGTGCTTTGTACATGTGGGGGAAAAAAAGATTTATTGGAAATAAATTCACCTATTTCATGGAAGTGGATGGTGTATTTCTTCCACTTCAATTTGTCCAAAGGAGTCCAACAGTGACTGTGACCGAAGCTCTATGAAACATGACCTTAAAGCTTGCTTTCTACATGTGGGAAAGCTGAATTGTTTATTTTGGTTAAAATGTTTTGAATGTCGGCACCATTGGCTGTCGCTGTGAGAGAAATCAATTTCTGTACCGTTGTCCTTTTCCAGCATGCCAATGGTTGGAGTGCTGAAGAAATGTTTAAGACAAATGAAGCAAGATATGGAGTGAAGTCATCATATGATGATTCTCTGCCTGAATACACGTGAGTTGTAACACCACTTCTTCAAAATACAACTTGCAAAAAATCTCACTGAGTGAGCAGGTGTTAGTAACCAGAGTTTCACACTGTTCAATGTGTTTAGAATTTAGCTCAGCAAGTAAATTTCTGAACAACACTGGAGTTTCAAGGTCTTTGAAATGGGTCTTGAGCTCTTTGGTTGGAAATATTGGGAAGAAGCTTGATCTGAAATACTGTAAGAACTTCTCTGAAAAATTTCCCCCGAGCGTCTAATTCTTCCATGTCGTCAAATAATAGAACCAGCATCGACCAGTCCAACCCCAAGGTCTTCCAGGAAAGGAAAGAGAAAGCCGATAGATGGGCCAGGGAAATCGAAGGCTCGGCGCGGTCTGAGTCTGATGACATCACAGAAGAAGAAAAATTCAGCGCAGTCAGCAGGAGTAGCGAAAACACAGGCACTACTAGGTACATTGACAGTTACGCTAAAGTTTTCAGTCCACCTTGTAGCAGTAGTTGAGGCTTCCATAAAACACGACGTCAGAGGTAGGGTTGAAGACGGCATGCTGTCCACATTTGCCTTGAAGTGAAAACCAAGATGTCCCAGTTGCTTAGTGTTTCTGCCACTACGTGCATTTGTTCGACAAAACAAGGTGTCTGGGGGGGGCTAAAGATGCCTAGATATCCCCCCTGGCAAAAACATTAATCAGAAGTGATTGTTAAATATTGTATTCTGAAAAGAACTTCATGGTGGTAATTTTTTTTATGGAACCTCACTAGTGATAGGAGGACTTACTAATCACAGTGTATCAATTGGGATTGAAATCAGGGTCATCAGAGGTCAAAATTGAGGAAAGTACCATACACTGCCCTGTTTTTTCCAGTGCGGAAGTTATAAGAATATTGTATCATGTGGTCTTGCTCAGGTATATACCGCCCCCTATGAGGGAAGGCTCACGAGGACATTCACCTCAACATGGCCCTCCTCAGAGGAGACCTCAGGGTCCTATGCCCCGATTACCTGGTCAAGGACGACCTCAGATGACCTCTCCACATCATGGCCAGCCCGCACAACACCCTGCTACGCAGGCACAGGGTCACCCCCACGCCCAATCACACCCCCCGCACCAGCCCGTGGGGCAGCAGCAGCCGCCGCTGTCGGGACACATGTATCCTAGTGTGCAGACCCGCTTGGCCCAGCCTGGGCCACAGCATCAGCACCAGCAACAGCAGCAGCAGGTGCCCCAGCAATCACAACAGGCGTTATCGCCACACCAGTTACAGGCAACATCATCTCATCAATCACAACCTCTTCAACAGCAGCAGCAGCAGCCACAGCAGCCGCAACCCCCACTGCCGCAGCAGCAACAGCAGCAAGCACCCCCGCAGAAACATTATTCAGCAGTCCCCCAGCCCCCGGCGCATGTACATGGCAATCCCCGTCCACCACCTCCTCAACACCAGGTCCAGACTCCGCCCAGGGGCCAACCGCCAACTCAGACATCTCCATGCCCCCCAGGTTTTGGGAGTCAGTCTCCGAGGTCGTCACCACTTCCAAATGTAGATCCAGCGTCGCCAAGTAAGTTCACACAACATTCAGACTGCTCTTGAAAGTTGTCTAAAAGTTCAGTAGAGGTCCTTTTTCAAAGAAATCATTTGTTATACTTTTTGTCTGAGAACAGTTCAGTTTCGAGTGTTTGCCACAATAATTAATTCTTTTGCTTATTCTGTATTCTTTAAATAGCAAATTTATAATTGATGGAGGACATTTCTCACGGAATACCCCTTTCCATGAACTCTTAGAGTGACTAGAGCTAAGTTCATTTCTGTCCAGTAGTACCATGAACCGTAAGATTTGTGGCGTCTTTGCTAGTTTGCCCGTTCTACCTAAAAACAATTACATACAAGTTGGAGGTGTGGTTCTGCCTAAGTTGAATCTTAAGTTAAATCTAACTTTGGAGTTTGGATATCATTTTTGGATTGCTTCATATCATGGAAACCGAAAGACACAGAAAGAGTTTGAACTACCCTGGCTATAACATCTGGCCAATTACCACTTTCTGGCTTGCCCGGCATGTCCATAGCCAGAGCATAGTGAATGCTTGCTACACACCACCTGTTTCACCTGTACCCCGTGATCATTGCTGCAATTTTTCCCTGGTAATCTGCATCCTTAACACATTGTGCACTGCAGCATAGGAAGTTGAATATTTATGCCATTGTTGGTGCTTGGTGTGATCTGACAACATCAAATTCAGTGCTTGCGCAGTTGCTTGTATTATGCCATGTGCCTTAAGTGTCGGTCATTTCCCTTGTTGAACGCTTTCTTCTGGAGTTTTGTGAATAATAGCCAAGTTGGCTATAAGATATTGTGTTTTATTTGAATCATTTTTTATTACAACAGTTATACAAAAAGTATTTTATGAGATCTCATGATCACTCCTTGTGATGAAACAGTGCATTTTGTTTTCGTCAACAATTCGCACAAAGACTTCAAAAACTGATGTTTTGGACAGACAAAATAAAATTACAAACACTGTATGGATAGTGGAAAAGTGCATCAAAATCTTAAAAATTATTTACAACAGTAAAAGTAGATATTTTTTCTTTCTATTTCCTGGTCACTGCGATAAGTTGTAGTTAATTGTAACTACAAATATTGCTACCATATTACTGGCCCCACTTGTCCAGCTAAGCTGCAGGCAGTAATCAGACATTTATTTATGGTTGTATCTGAATTGTTCCTTCAGATGTCAGAGAGGAGAAGGTTCCTGCAACAGTCAGTGAAGAACGTCAGCCGTCATTAGATGACAGTAACAGTAGGAAAACTGACCCTAGTACAGTAGACAGAACGGCAGACAGCACTACAGTCTCGCCGGAAAAGACACACAAAAATGGTAACATGTCTCACTGTTTTACAAATTACAGCTGATTAACCATCTGCTGCCGTGTTTAATTAGAAGTTGCACGACCTATTGCCTGGGAATTTTCAAGATTTTCCGTTTTCAAATTTCTTCGAAAATTCGTAATGTCATTTACTGGACGTTTACACTCACACGAATGACTGTCTGGTTTCTACTCTAATCTGACAGACAACATTTATTGATGCCTGAGTATTTCAGCAAGGCCTGCTGCCTTGTAAAGAGAGCAAAGATTGTCCAGTGTTACGTAATTTTCTTTTATTCCTGAGACTGATACAGTGCGCTACTGGAGTCTTTCTGAATGCGGACCAGATTAGCATGCAGCGATATTGTATCGCTCATCACTGGAGCGCTTTTGTCCCTGGTGGTAATCTGCTCACACTGAATGCCACAAACAGTGGTATAATCTTTCAAAACAATGACGGATTTTCTCCACTATTGATAACTGAAAAAATGTTGATAATTCCCAACAGCTCTGTCTTTTGTTCCGAATCTTTTGTTACAGGCCCAGCTCTTTTGTCCGATTTCGGGCACCCCGCCTTTCCATATAAAACCAATGTCTCCGGTTCCAGGCACCCTGGCATGAAGTGGTTAATTTTGTACTTACTCCAACTTTGTGGCTCTTTAAGTTAAATCTCTTTGACACCTTGTTTACTTTGTATCAAATGTATTCTATTTTATCTGTTACCAACTTGATTATACATGAAATGGATCGACAGTTTTCTAACAGTTTTTTTCTCTTTTAACAGTACAAGAAAAGACAATAGCTGATTTAAAAGAGTTCAGTAGTTCATTTAATGTAAGTACCATCGTATCTTTGTAATGAAATTTTCTCATCTTTGAAGACTTTTCAAAGATATTCGACACTTGTGCTCAAAAGCTCAAAAACCTGTCATTACAGAGATCCTGAAATTTACCGTGGCTGAGGGATATGATATATCAAATCAGTAAGGTTTTCTTCATCTGAAGTGTTTTTCTGAGCACTTCTGTGATGAATTTAGAAGATAAGCTAAAGTTTGTATTTCATTGCATTTTAATATCAAACTGGAATTTTTACGATGAAGAAGTTAAAATTCACGATTTATTAAATCTAAACATTTTAAGCAGCATTTGAAAAAAAAATAATTTGGACATGGAACCCAAAATAGTCTGGCACCACCCCATTTAACAGAGTGCATTGAATAGGATATATTCAAGGAACATGATCCAAAATGGCTTCCTTGTGAAGAAGATATATTGCACACACTTGTTCTAAAGTCAGCAATGATGACTCTTGACATTCACAGTTAGAGGGAAAACCAACAGAAGAGGAAGCTGCAAGTATACCCAGCACACAGCCTGCTGCTGCTGCCGCTGCTGCTGCCGCCGCTGTTGCCTCTGCAGACACCAAGCAGGGAACAGCAGAGAATACAACGCCAACAGTGCCAGCGGCAACGGAGGAGAGGGACGCTAAGGAGACCGAAACCAGGTAGGTGATTGGGGCGGGGGGGGGGGGATTGGGGGGGGGGAGCGGGGGGGGTGGGGGAAGGGG